GGGGGTTGAAGATTCTTGGGGTAGGGAAACCTGCATATGAACCCTATTATGGGAACCCTAATCCCTACTAAACCCCCATAGGCTACAACCAATTTTGGCCTCCTATGATTGCTGGTGCATAATCGGCTGAAAGGAAGGAAGCCAGGAATACTCGACAGGTGTTATCGTTACAAAGGATTACAAGTGGCTTAGAACAGCCCTAAACGAGTTCGTTCGAGCCCTCAGCCAGTACAGTAAGCCTGAGTCGCTGAAATTCAGCTCCGAACAAGAGCCCCAATGCTGAAGTTGGCCCAGAGCCAACAGTCCCGGCTCAAAGGCTTTGCCGAGGCTCGATCACGTGACCAGTTCAAGACCGCGCCCCCAAGTAATACCGCGAGCATACTAATACTAAAAGTACTAAAAATAATCGGTAATAACAATAATCATAAAAAGACTCAGGTGTTAAGTCTAACATAAGAAGTCCCAAGGTAACAGATCCACACAGATTGGACAAGGGCAAAACCAAAGTCAAGCGGACACACACCCCCGCTTGTGGGGCTGACTTGGACGATCAGCCTTGGGGACACAATTAACCCTGTACCGGCTAACCCTAAACCTTAAATCCTAAACACTAAAGGAAACGAAGACTCCAAACAAGCTAGAACGTCTTAGCAGCATCTGAAGCCCTGAGCCCCAATCCCTCATAGTAGGTACAAGCTCTGAAATGTAGTTTCAGAGTTGACATGACCCTGGTAAACACCCTAAGCAGCTGGATCCTGATTTCTCGAATACCCCTTGGATAAGTTCCTAATAGCGGGATCCTTATTCTATACTTTTGCAGCTGGGCTACGCATATGCCAGGAGCCAGCATCCCACTAAGCCCTTGACCCTGAATCCTAAACCCTAGATCCTAGACCATAAATCCTGAACTTTAAATTCTGAATCCTAAACTCATCACCCCAAGGTAAATCCCCAGAAGTAGGTAAAATGATGGCCCAAACCTATAAAAGGCTGTTAGTCTGCATACTTTTGGGGTCCAGGAAATTCCTGCACCGAGAAAGACTTGCCCCCACAAGGTTAATGGTTACCTACTCAGCTACTACGAAGGACTTGCAGCAGCGGAACTGTTGCTGGGGGTTGAAGGGCAGCTTCCCCCGGAGAAGTTGCTCACTTCGTTTTCGTGGAGCTTCTGGATGTCAACCTTGAGCTTAGGGTTTAGAAACTTCAGGGTTCAGGGTTAGGATCAGGGTTTTAGGATTTAGGGTTTGTCAACCTCGTTTGGGATGGTTACAGGTTTATGTCGGGTTGAAGATTCAGGGCACTATAGGGTTTAGGTATGCTTGCAAAGGCCGGCGGGATCATGTGAGCGCAAACCCCAAATGGCAAACTACCCGCCGTATGTTCGCGAAAAAGGGTGGTAGGACCCTAGAAACACCAAACTCAAAAGGTTGCACTAAACTCAAAAAGCCAAAGAGGCCCAAGTCGAACCATGCCGCAGCCCAAGTCCCCGCGGCTTTGAAGACCAATACCCTGACCAACACCCTCTAGTAATTGAATAGCTGATCTACAAAGTGTTGCGGATGAAGCTGTTGAGTGACTCAATCTAGACATGGGAAACCTCCCACTCTGACCGTCAGGGATTCAGTATTGACATGAAAATGTTGACCCAGCCCTGTGGGTTCGGGTCGATGTACCCAAATCGTAATTATACAACACAGTAACTATTGACTACTTTCAGCCCAAAGTATATGCGATACAATGCATGGACCCTTCGGGTAGAATATCCTCGTCAGAACAGAAGAGAATCAGAAACCGTTCTGTGCTTGTCAGCACCTGAAAGACGCCCTGCCTGAACCTGTCAAACCTCTAGGGCAGGCAACGAGCATCAGCAATGCTGATGCCGAGCAGTAGCACTTTGGCCTACTCGTAATTACTAGAATGGACCCACTACGACGGCGAAGACGCGAAAGCGCCTATAGTCAATGTAACCCTCCACGGTCTAATCCAGGGGAAGCGTTCAGAAACTTACACGGAGGTTGAGGTTGTCAGATCAGCACCTTATGACGTGAGGGCTTGGGTCCCAAAAGTCCTGAAGCATGAACCCTGGATACTAGACGTTGAAACACTTAACTGTTGAGATGGAAAGAAAATGCCAAACCTATATGTCCATACTCCTGGCGCAGAGCTCTGACTGTGGATATACTCAGTGCCACACTCTTAGCTGCGCTAGCAGCCGTTCCAATCTGTCCTCGCCACACTTACAGCGTTCAGGCTTCGGGTTAAGTGCCCTTTCACGATCCCATGGTCTGATTGGGCTCTCGTGCTGAAAATGCCAAACATCGACCCGGGCTACGGGACCATCCTGCGCACCCGTATGTTGTGTTGCGTGAATGTGCGTCTGTCAGGATCTGATTCAGGGCCAGCCCGTCTCGAACTGTGTCTACAAAGCTCAACCCTGAGCCAGCACGAACGTCGAAAACCTGCTGAAGCTGGTCGTCTTCAAAGACAGCCGAGCTTGGTGCTTCGCCTCCTGTTCTTGCCTATCCCTCACCATACTTACCAGGTCTTCCACAAGGGGACATCTTCAGATTGGCAGATGAAGACTGGACATCCAGGTCCAGGTTTCAACTTCGACCTCGTGTAGGGGGCTCGGGTGGTCTGGCCCTACGGCTTAGGCCTTAGGGGAGGTTCGAAGGCACGAGTGATCAACGATGGCTAGAACTCAATGCCGCAATGATGCCTTGACAGAACCCCCCCGCTCACTCTCCCTCCGAAACTATCACCCTCCGTCTCTCTCTCTCTCTCTCTCTCTCTCTCCCTCCCTCTCTCTCTCTCGCTCTATCTCTCTCTCCCAGGCACTCGAAACGTCAAGACTGACTGAAGGGCTGCACATCCTCACCCCAAACCCCAATTGAAACAAACCCTGAAACCTCGTAAAGAAAAATACCGACATGTTGAGCACCTGTCCTGGAAGCTCGACTCCATGGGGGATGACCTGCGACGACTAGGTACTGCGAAAGAGTTCTGGGAGGGGCTGAGGGGGAAACTAGGTTCAAAACCCTTTTTGCAAAACTCGAAAGCGGTTTAGGGTTTTCTACAGGATTCTGGTTTGATTCCAAACTTGGGGTTTTAGGTGTTACTTGGCTTTGGATTTCAAGGGGCAGGCTTCGCATCTAAGTGCTTTGGTCTAGCAAGGGTTCCCGGGCCTCTGTGCGGCTGATCACGGCTTTTGTTGAGGGTTTAGTCCTTGGAGCCAGATATTGTTGTCGTCTCTGGCGTTCTCGCTCTTTGTCCGGTCGTGCTTCGGTTGCCTGTCATCTGTTAAGGCCTCCTGACGGCCCCAACAATTAAGGAGTTGTTCGATTGAGATGTCAAGGCCCTAGACACTCACATAAAAGCCTGTCGAATGCTTAAACCAAAATCATATGCCTTTGCCCAACGACGTCGAGACACAAAAAGCACCCAAGAAGTGAACTTCATACTGACAGCAATAAAAAGGAAAGCAAGCCCACCAACAACACACCACAATACAAAACAAACCTCAACACAACGAGATTGGAATCTAAACCGGGGCTTCAAGAACAAAACATAGGGCTCCCGGGTTCCACGATGCTCAACACAGGGCCCTTGATAATCAGAATCGTGTTCTTGTTGTAGAGGGCATATAATCATACAGGTACATATACATACATGAGTAAACCCACGGGAACTACAGTGCTCGGGCTTCCAGCCTCACAGCCGGCGCTCCCCCCGAACACCACCAAAGAGCCAAAAGGGGGCTTTCCGGACGCTGCGAGATTCAGGATGCGATCAAGAAAAGGGGTCTCAACTTCCACCACAGCCAGAGAAAGAATCAGCACATTACCCTGGGGTTGCTCCTTCCCTACCCCTAAACCATGTTTGGGGCTTCAAGGACCTGAAATTTCCTTGCGACGAGCACATCTACAGGCCCTTTTTGCAGCAAGGCTTCTCTCGCCCGGGCCCTAAAACCTAAACCCTTAAACCCAAGATCCCGGTTCGTAAACCAAGGAGAACTGAAGCCCGGCTTTTCTTGTCGCGAAACCTTGGGAGATCAGGAGCCCTCAACGCATGAAAAAATCATTGAACTACCACAATCTGGGTTGTTGTTCTTGTTGTTGTTGCTGGTGTTGTTGCTGTTGTTGTCGTTGGGCAATTCAATTTAGGATTTGGGGGGTTGCCGGACTAGGAATACATTAAACTCCTTAAAAAGAGCACAGTTTCCCTAGAGTCGCTACGAATTCTAGAATAGAGCTTAAAAGAGACCAAGACAAAGCAGGGCCTCGGTAGCTTCGGAAAGAGTAATGGCCTCAAAAATCATGCCGGTAAGCATGCCGGGCTTCAACCCCAAAGTTAGCGAGCCCAGGAAGATGCTCAAGTCTCGTTCGTGGAGTTACTTGCCAAGTTCATGGGTCATCATCATATAGAACTCTGAACATAACAATCTCGAATAGCTCAAGATGCCTACTGGCCTACTTCCCAAAAACCCGACAGGAAATTGACGCCTACAGACCAGCATGACGTTGTAAGAGCCCAGGCAGGAATCAAGTTGAAAAGTTGGGGGTTGGGGAGTTGCGCCAGTTCTCCCTCTCCCTCTCCCTCTCCCTCCCTCCCTCCCCCCCTCTCCCTCTCCCTCTCCTCTCCCTCTCCCTCTCCCTCTCTCCCTCTCCCTCTCCCTCTCCCTCTCCCTCTCCCTCTCTCTCTCTCTCTCTCTCTCTCTCTCTCTCTCTCTTCTTCCGCCGGGCATGAGGGGCTGTTAAGACCCCTCGGCCACTAGGGCCCCCCCATATTTTGTGGGGACTTTGGAGGAGTGTGAAAGGTCTTCGCAGTTATGTCCCCTGGTGGATCTTTTTGAAACGAGACCAGTGAGCACATAGAGAGTACGTAACACAAGTATGATCTCTCTCTCTCTCTCTCTCTCACTCTCTCTCTCTCACAGTAAGCCTGAGTTCCTGAATCCTAAACCCAAAACCTCAGCCCTTCAATCCCGAGATCCGGCTCACTGGATGAGGGATTCCATCAAGCGCCCCTGCGCTTGCAACGCCTCAAGAAGGCGAACTCCACAAAAGCTTACGGCTTCTTACAAGCCTTCCTCGGGGTAGGTCCCGGGTTTTGGGGTTGGCCAAAAAGCCCTCAAAGGGTTTTGATCTAGGGCCCAGAGGACTTAGGGCACAAAGTCACAAAGTCTTAAAGGTCTGCTTCTTACAGACCTGATCTGCTATCGTCACCTGAAGGCTTGTACACGTCTTCACGGGGGGCTGCTTTAAGGTTGCTTCTACAGTTTCGTAGTGTTTGCGCGGAGGGAGTCATCCGGACTAGGTTTCAGCTTGGGGCTGATGGTCCACGGTTTTTTGGGACTGGCCAAGCGACGCCTCACGGTATGCGTGAAAACCTCAAAATGCCGCCCCTGCCAAGCTTCTTGTAACGTTAACTGAAACGTTAACTGCAACGTTAACTGTGACTCCTATGTAACGTTAACGGCACGTTTACTGCGACCCCTAGTCTGCAAAGTCCAAGCTGGCACGGTGCATGTCCCTGAACCAGCCTAGCCAACGCCTCCGAGATAAGCGCTGGCCAGGTTTCGACTTGGTTGAGGCAGAACCAGAGTGGCACAAGAAGGTGTGCTTGGCGCCCGTGGAGGAGCGAACACAGAACTGAGCTTGCCGTATATCGCATTCTTGGACATGCGTTGGGCTTCGTCTGCACGCGGATGTTACCCGTCACAGGAAACATGGTATACAGACTGCGTTGATCATCTCAGCGAGAAGGATCCTGTCGGTTGATGGAGGAAATCTTGCACCACCTGCGTACTAAAGAGTGCGACGACACATGAGCATAACCCGGCGCCCCCTGTTTAATATTGAATGTGATGGATACCGAGGTGGTCCAAGATTTTTGTCATAGGAACCCACGGCACTTCAAAGGATCAGCGGTCAATATTAAAAGGGGGGTGTGGGGTGTCTGCTTTTGCTCGGCCACTTAAAGTGGTGCAAGATTTCCTATATCAACAGTACGACTATTACGACGACTAGGACTTTACGAGGGCTACTACTACTCCTGCTACGGCTACTTGGACTACTACGAGTACGAGTATTACGACTACTGGGACTATACGAGGACTACTACGACTACTAGGAGCATACTAGGACCGCGACGACTACTACGACTGCAACGACTGCTACGACTACTCGACGACGACTCCTACGAAGACGACAAATACTAGTTGCTTGCCACGGTCACTCAACTTCTATGATTCTAAAACGAAAGCAAAACCAGCGGTACACCAGCGGAGAAGGCAAGTTTCAGCAGTGGCAGTAGCAGTAACAGCAGTGGCGGAAGCAGCAACAACGAGCAGGAGTAGTAGGGGTCGGAGTTGCAGTAGCAGGGTAGTAGAAGAAGTAGTAGTCAAAGAAGTCGTCGTCGTAGTAGTGGTGGTAGTAGGTAGTAGCCGCAGCAGCAGCAGCAGCAGCAGTAGTAGAGGATGCCTTGGCGACGGGGCCAACGACGAGAGTGATGCTGACACAATGGCGATGACGATACGAATCCTACTAAAAATCTTATACATCACCCTCACCATCATAGCCAACTCTACCAACTCAGGCACTGTAATCACGTACACATGCTGTGTGAGTGCGGTTGTTAGTGGCGGAGGGATGGAGTTCTGCAGTTGCACGGCAGTGGCGGCGGCGGTAGTGGCAATGGTGGCAATGGTGGCACGGTGGCATGGTGGTGGTGCTTGCACAACCCCCTAGGCAATATGCCTCGTAAGTCACTTTAGAAAAGGAACAGGACCCCTCACTGATGAAAAGGCATCGTATAACATATTGTACGTAGTGTATTATACTATATTCTAGTATGTTGTAATGTATTATAGCACATTCTTACTTAACTACGTAACAGTTTTGGAATCTCTGGAAACCCTAAGTTCTCCTTTTGCGTCACAGCACTCTTGGCCGGTCTGCAATTCCTCCGCGTTTTGCCTTCGGCTTGCTAAACACAAATTCGGAATGGCTCTCACGAGCCTTGAAGTTCTACGTAAGGGGCAGGCTCTGGCTCTGCCTCTCTGCTGTGCTTGAGTAGTCCAAGCCTACTCATAAAAACGAGTCTGGCTCCCTTCGCCCAGGCAGATTCAAGCCTATCATAAAGCGGCACATAAGTTGAAAGACAGAAGATGTGCGCATAATGCGTCCTGCGAACAAGCTTGTTCAGTAGGCTGCATCGCAGCTTCATGTCTCTCATCCGAAGTCTTGGCGCTATGGTCGGATGCACCCCGGCGCGGCGAAGCTGAAAGTAACAACCAACCTCCATTCCAAGCAACACTAAGGCGGCTTTGGGGAAGTACACAAGCGCAAGCATCAAATACAGAAAGACCTCTGCGCCGTAGAGCCACTGCTCGCACCACGTCTCGTCAGTGAGACTGACTGCAAGACTGGGACTGCTGGCGACGGTTCTATAGAACATCTCATGGCAGCGAATATGGTTGTCACGCAGATCCAGATGGCGGATTTTCCCGTTTTGCCTCAGGGCAGGCAAGAAGGCCTCAGCCCCTGCATTGGAAATGGAGCAACCTCGGAAATGCAAGCGTTGGATCGTGGCATCGGTTGCGTTCGCTGTTGCGATGGCCGTTGCTAATGCAACGGCTCGCATGTCCTCGATGCGGTTCCAGCTGATGTCAAATTCCACCAGGCAGGGAGCCCCTTGGATTGCAGCAGCAAGCTGCGACGCAGCTGGACCACGCAGACCGCAATTCACAAGTTTCAGGCTGGTGATGTGCCAACTCCTGCTGTGCAGGCCAGCGCTGATGAGCTCTGCAGCATTGCCCTGGAGGGTCACGCTGTCGAGCGCTATCGTGCGCAAGGGTTGGTCCATCAAGGCCCGGAACAAAGAGCGGACTTCCGCTTCATCAAAGAAACAGCACCGCAACTGCAAGTTTTGCAGCTGCCCGTTTTCCAGAATGTGGTGTGGCAGCCTTTGCCGGTCACTGCGGCTTAACGAGACAAGAGATATCGCATGAACCAGTCGCATTTTCTGCTCGAACACCTTTGCCTGCAAGGAAACGACTTGATCCGCGTCTGACCTGTGAGTGAAGGCAATGCCGTGAGTGCTCGCTCTCTGCTGAAACTCCGATGGCAGTAAGGGTAACTTGGAGCGTGGAAACATGCCCAGTTGGGGATGTCTGGATTGAGCCAGCACCTCGCAAAGCGACAGCGCGATGAAGAGAAGAATCGCCAAAGATACCCCTACAATCAACGACGAACCTTCCAGAATTTGCCACAGCATCATGGCAACGGCAGCTCGTAGCAACCAAAGTGACCGCCGTTTCAGGACAGCGTTGGAGATGTCGATGATGTCTGGGGATGCCCATTCGACCTCTGCACAGCACCACCCCCGCTTCTGATAGGGAGTGTTGTTGGCATGCAAGTTCGGGCATCTCTCACCACATGTCTCGCCACATCTGCCACTCTTGGTGGGCTTCAGGTCTGCTAGGGGCAGAGCCTGGACGGCATCTACCGCCTCGCTGTAGGCGGGGATGACCCGACGTCGTGGACACTGCATAAGTTTCCACCAACCGGGAGTCAAACTTGTTATGCTCCAAACTTGATAGCAAAAGCATGCCCCAGAGTTTGCGTACAGCAAGTGCATATCCTGCATGCTGCGGCGGAAACTTTCCTCCTCGTTTGAATGACTGCGACGATATTGGAAAAGGGAAACGTAGTCGATGAAGAACACGACGTTGTCCGGCACTTGTGATATGCTGATCAGATCCGCAATCTGTCGGAGTTGATATCCATATGGGTCTGGGTGCTCGCGTGACTCCCACATGTGAGAAATCGCAATGAATCTGAACTGCTCCGTTCTGTGGTCTGGCTGAAACAGGGAGTCGCCTTCCTCCTCAGCCTCTTGCCGTCTTGGCCACACCCTGCCTTGCTGCACTAGCTTCATGAGGTAGTCCCTGCGAACAAACTTGATGTCGGCAGACATCACATAGCCGAGGAATGCAGGCCAGGAGCCGATATCACGCTGATCACTCTGAGACACCATTGCCTCGGATTTTGTGCCTGCAACGGTGATGGGCGCTGGCTTTGGCCTGTCCTGTCTACTGCCGATACTTGCTCACCGTCTTGGTAATGAGAGATCATTACTCTCGGCTGCTCATACTGGGGTTTGGGGGAAAGGTTCCACCACGTGTGCGACGATCAAGACCGACTCCAACAATGAACACATCTTCCACGGGTTTAGGATGCTTTCGGCTTCAGGGTGCCAGGGGTTCTAAAAAAATACCTATAGTCTCCACTGCAGTTCCTCTTTGGGGTTACCTTATACTAGTAGGATCCTAAGTCTATTTGGTTAAACCAAAAAGAAACTACAATGGAGGCTATAGGTAGGGCTTAGGGTGTTGGGCCTCGAGAAATCAAAAAGGCTTCCATAGGCTTCCAGAAGCGGGGGCAAGGACTTTGGGATCATGACGTCTTCGCTAAGGCCTACGTATACATTAACCCGTGAACCTGTGAAAGATGTAAAGAGCCGGTGAGCCAGAGTCTACGCACACACTTCGCTGCTCATTGGGCCCGGAGGTATTTTCAAGCACGTGATGTGCAGAAAAAATGCAGATTGATCGGCTAGACGCGTGATAGGGGTCAGTGCATGGCATGCCAACTGGCTTCTTGTTCGGCTTGGCTTATGGCCGCTTGTAAAAAATAACAAACCCTGGAAAACAAGCGCTCGACTCGAAACCAGCTACAGTAACGGCTTCCACGGAGCCCGGGCTATGTTCTTGTTGTCGCTGTTGTTGCTGATGATCCTGATGGCTACAATGAAGATAAACGTGCATATAGCACTGCTGTCGATTCAGAGGCTGCTGACTGTTCTGCCAAGGTTTGAGAGTTCGGCATCGCAGGACAATGAGGAGTTGGATTTCAGGCAGGCCCCAACAAATTCAACAGCGGCACTGATTGCATTTTTTATGTAAGCTCCAGCAGTGTCCATCGCATGACTTTCGGACAGCACATGCTCACGGTCAAGAGCTGACAAGCACCGAAAATAGTCAAACGACACGATGTTGCAGCTCCTATGCGCTGTTATAGCTGTGCATATTAATAATAACGCAAAGCAATTACATGATAAACAGCTGTTTGGACTGATACCCGACTTTGGATCTTCCAAGGATGCTAAGATGGTGCTCGGCAAGAAGGGAATGTCCTGGGGCTCTAAAACGGGTCCGTCTGAAGCCTACTGGGCCAGTTCCTTACCGGCCTGTCCAGCCTTGGTGCCTCAGGTGGTCTAGCACCAAGCAGCAGGCGCTCGCAACCGCAAGGATTGGTTTACAAATTTAGCATCAATGACGTCTTGGTCCGTGGAAGTCCAGCCAGCCTCATCAATCAGTTGCTGAACTGTTCGCAAAAGATGGCACTCTTCTTCCCCCGGATCCTTCCGCACGGCCTCTGCAAAAAAGAGCTTCTCCCGGTAGCACCTGAACCGCCCTGGGTGGGTTTGCCAGGGTAGGCCTTGCTCAAGGTGATGGCAACCCACTTCGATGAGATAGTTTGCTTTGCCAAAATTCATGGTCATGCTCTGCTCTATGTAAACTTTCGCTTCTGTCAGCTCTGCTTTGCCGAGACTGACCGGATCGGGGTAGAGAGCCGCATAATACACGGCACGCTGCAGGGTGTTCGAAAGTTTCTCCATGTCTGCTTGGGGATTCTCAGCCTCCATCTCCGCGTAGCGGCGAAAGGTGACAGCTGCAGTGTAGGGCAGCTGAACGCTGTGATACTGGTTCCTGGCTTTCGGGAATGAAACTCATGCTGGCCCGACAGAACAGTCAGCTAGCAAAACCACACAAGTCAATGCTAGAGCCAAGTTGCATGGTAGACATAGACAGGAACCCTTTCTGATCGAACGTGCGAAACAACTGCCGCGCAACGTCTGCGCCTGTGCTGTAGAAGCTCGCGCGCGCCCACTCATTCAAAGCCTGTTCTGCAGGGTGTGACAATGAAACGGTTTAAGCACCCTGCCCAAGCATAACCCAAGCTAACAAGATGGACTACAAGCAGGCCAGAACCGTATCGATATCCCCGGACACCGCGCCTCCAGTCTCAACAGGTACGGTTGGTTTGCATCCATCAAGACAGCAGAGGCGTTGGAGATGGCCGATTCAAATTCACCGTTGCTCCTCAAAACGATTGAGTATTGCGTGCGAGTGCGCGAACACTGATACTCGTCTCGATCTTGCCCGCTACATGCAGCTTCCATAGCCAAAGCAAGGTGGGGCAGCGCATCAATGCCGTAGCCATGGTTGAACTTAAGTCGAGCGCACGCAACCCGTCCAACAAAATCGTGTCGAGACTTGGAGGCAAAGCAAGTCGAGTTTAGAATGTCTTCTTCCTGCCCTTGCCGGCCATTGAAACCCAACGCTTCGGCCAGGCAAACTTTGGCTTCTGGGACCGAGGCTGCTACCTGTCGAAGTTCCTTCACAACTGATCGCAACAAGTCTTGGGTCGGAATGTTTTCTCTTCGGAGGTAGGGCCCGCTACACCGCTCGCGGTACGCTCTCATTGCATCCGTCTCCCCCGGCTCATCCGACTCGGCACAAAGCACTGGCCATTCGTGGCAGGCAAACACAGAGGCCCGTAGTGTTGGGAGCTTCTTAGGACAGGATCCATCCATCAAGCACACAACTAAACCTCGGAATTCCTGCACGTTCTCCTCGTAGCGCTGCAGCAGTGAGCCTTTCACCTGCTCCGGAGCAAAGGAGTGCTTCAAGGAGTTGAAGCCCATGGTAAGGAACACGTTCAGAAGGTTGTCCTCCGGTAGCAAGGTGCTCGCCAGCATGTACTCATCTGTCAAAGTAGATCTCCACATAGCAGAATCATCCGTACTGAGGCATGTGCTAACACCTCTGGCCAGAAGATCTGGCAATGGATGGCTCCTGAAATCCTTCAAGATGCCCAATGCCTTGTTGGAGATTAGGTTCGTCTCGATAAGGATGCTGTGATGTAGAAGGGTGTCCAAGGTCTCAGCCATAATTTTCCCTTCGTCCAGCCAATTAATACCATGACCAATGCGTCGAGCACGCAACTTGTGGATGGCATCCAAGACGTTGCGATTTGGACAGCGCAATTCACCCGCGTGAACCGACCAATGGCAAGCCTTGCACTGCACAATCCTCGGGCATGCTTACCGAAAGCTCTACATCCTCACCGAGGTACTATACTGGTCAATACGAACAGCGAAATAAAACATACCATGCGGGAAAAACCTAGAATCTCAGCGCTGAAGCTGTCGTTCACAAGCAAGTCCAAACAACCCCGGTCGTCTTGCTCTGGCCCTACAATATTTGCCCCGACCCATCTTGGGAATACTCCAGATGCCAAGGCGCGCACAGCTGTGAGCAGTCCTGGAACAAGCTCTTACCCAGGCCCAAGGACAATCAAGACCACCCCCGGCCAAAAACAACACGGTTAACGAAAAGAATCGCAAATCAAATGAAACGAAGGCACGTTGCTGCGAGGCAGGATGTGTCTGAGGGACGTAATGCTGAAAGTACACCTCCACCCCAGCCTGCATCACATCTGAATCCTTCAGTCGGGACTCAATGTAGCTGTGGGCGGCCTCTCTGTCAATCTCCTTGCATAGGTGAAAGAATTTCAAGCTGAGCATCGACTCTAAGTACACTGCGTTTTCGAAGGCCAGCTGCTTGACCCATAATACTAGAATTTCTGTCTTGACATGCAGATTGTCAGTCAACTCGCCCAGGATTCGGAAAGACTTGCTGTAGAAGTATTCTCGGGGCTGCCTCTTGTTGAGCACGGACACTGCATCGATCCACTTGCGCCTCTCCTCCAATGACAGACGTTCGAGCGGTCGAAACTGTCGACGCTCAACGGGTGGCAAGGCAGCAAGACTACACTCCGCCAGAGTTTCCCAAAGAATTGCTGAGGGGCCACTGTCCTTGGTCAGAATAAAGCGCGTGTAAAAGCGCTCGCCGTGGAGAATGCTGACATCTGACCCAAGCTCCAACCATCTGGCTGGATCCCCGGTACCTGACAAATGATTGTGAATATCCCCACCTTTCGGCAGCGCGTGCAATAGAGACTTCTGCTTGATGGCCAGACCACGCCAGAAACTGCTGATGTTGGCTGGAAAAGCATAAAGACGATGTGCCAACAGAGGTTGCAGACTGCACAAGACGAGCAAATATTCAGAGCGTGGCATGGAGGTGCTGTGGCGAAACGCAGGTATTGCATGCTACAAACTGGCCCAGTGTGCAGCCATCGCTATCATGTCTTTATTACATTAAGGACCCCTCCAGAAACGAGGACACCCTAGCACCCTAGGAAAACCACGGGAATGGATCCCTATAATGTTGCAACCGCGAAGACCTTCAACGCTGTTTACACCTGTTTTTCTTTGAAGAAGGCGGCGGGGACGACAGCGGAACGCTAGGCTCGGTGCTTCAACCAACAGATTTGGTGCTTTGCACAGTCAGGCCGAACCAACAGAACATGCTCCCCATGCAAAAATGAAGCACATGCATTGACTCTGGTTGCTTTACAAGAAACACTCACACAGCTGGAATGAAAAGGCAGCACCAGGCAAGCATCCTGGCACACGTTAGCTTGGATGGGGAAACTCATAAATTTGGGGTCAAGGCCTCCAACTGCGACCTGTTGGCGCCCACTCGGTCTTCTGCCATGGACAACAAGCAAACCGAGCACACCCCTGCTCCCAATTCTTCCAGAGCCATCTGTTTCGGGATACCCAACCAAAAGTCTGTGTTTGGTTTTTTGGCCGTGAACTAGAACTGAAAACGCTCAGAGGCCTTAAGCCCCAAAATTCAAAACCTCCGCAAACAACAGCAAGCAACTTCCTCACATAAATCCTGCAAGAACCATGTTTTGACAATGTCAAGTACTTACATCAAAAGCAAAAGACAGCAGAATAACTGAAAGGTATCCCTCGATCAGCCCTGGAGCACGGTGTATGGGTTTCGGCGCTCACCCTCGGACAATCCAGGCGAGCATATGATTCGGAGTCTGACAAGTGAAACGGCACTGAGGAAGTAGTCATGATGGTAAGCAACAAGGAGCATGATCAACAAATAAAGTGACTGTAGGTCTGCAGACTGCCTCCTGTCCGGGCCTAGCAGCCTAGCATGATTGTAAGCAAGATATGACCAGTAGGAACCCGGACATCTTCAGCTACAGATCGCCGAATGGGTCAAGGAATATTGTTGAAGGATTCACGTTGAATAAAAGAGCTGGGACAGCTCAGGCATGGTGGTGATCTATGTAAGCCATTGTTACAATGACTCAACTGTGTCAGCGTGTTACCGACTCGTATGACTTGAAGCGGTGATTATCATACTACACTTCGCAAGCATTGTGAAACTACTGGACTATGTTGGGCTGCCTTCTGATGCAACTACATGGATAGGGTTCCCAGCCCCCTCCCCCGCCGGAAACTTTTGAGATTAGGTCGATCAGGCTGGTGCTTCAAGGAGTTCTCGTGTGCTAGAGCGAAGTATGCTGGGTGCATGGATGGAACCCGAGATCTGCCAAAACCTGGCAAGCTCGGCCGTTTAGACGTAGAAACCCAGGTAGAGCTGGTTTTGTTCACCCCTAGTTCAACCCGAAACCCGAACCCTTCAGCTGTATGCACCCTGAAGCCCCATGCAAAGCCTCATAGCAATTGCATCCCCAGCCCCCTAGGCCCACTGCACTACCCAGGAGGTAGAGCAAGTCCGAGGCTGTCGGTCGCAGAAGAAGCCTGATTCGAGTCTTTCAAGCTTGAGAGGGTTGAATCTACGAAATCTACGATGTACGTCGAATTTACCAGGACATGATGATATGGAAGAATCAACGCAAAGCGGAATCTTGCAACAGAGCGCCTGCCAGCTTCGCATCAGTGAGTGTACGTGTGTCTCTGTCTCTCTGTGTCTGTGACTGTGTCTGCACGTGTGTACATGCGTGCACACATGCTTGTGTGCCTCTGGGCCTATACGTGCCCGTGGTGCTCGGTGCGTGAAACTGTGTGAGTACATAGGCATAGGAGACTGTCAGAGTTCACTAGCGAGTGAGTGTTCGGCTTGTTTTGCAAACACCCGACGCATGTCTTCGGGGCTCGGGGGCATCGTTCGGGTCATCCCGAACCTCACCGAAACACATGTGCAGTGGACGTTTGGCTCTTCGAGTTCAAAGGCTTGGTGCTTGGGGTGATGGCAGCCAGGTTTGTTTATGCTGCTGCGGTAATAATGAATGATTCTTGTGATATCCGCTATGAATACTAAACCAGGTAATTCTAATCTTCCGGACATGATCTTCTAGCACTGTATCGGTAGTATCTAATCTGAATACCTGACTATGACGCTGTGGCAGGTGTCCTTGGCATGACGACCAGCATAAAGCAGCGGAAGAAGCGGAACTCCGCAAAAACAGACGGAGGGATAAGGAGGCAAAGAGGAAGAAGCGGAAGAGGAGGAGCAGGAGCAGGAGGAGGGGGAGGAGGGGGCAAGGAATTTTGGCAGCCGCGTCCTGAAAATAACCCTTGCTATAAACCCTAAAACCCCACAAAGTGCCGCGGGTGTAGGCTGGTAGGCATCCCACGCATTCCGAAGAAGGAGCCTCAGCGAGGTTCTCAAATCCACAAGCGTTTGTTTATCGTTGGTTTTACTTGAACAGGCCCCTTGTAGTTTCAGCACGCTTTGGGCCGTGTGGACCGTATAAGCTCTCAAAGCGTACTGATTGGGGGTTCTCGCGGAATGTCTGGCAGCAGTAATTCTTCTGAGGGGGCTCTCAATCTGGCTGTCATAGCTTTACTATGCTGCACGTCGTGTGTTCCACGAGATTTATGACACTAAAGCTCTGCATAGGCTTTCCGGGGGGGCCCTACCTCGAAGGGGCCGAAGAGGGCAAATCCTTCGTGCCATAGTGTGGGGCTTGAGGATGCGGAAAGATACGCTGAGACATTATGACCCAACAACTCCCCACCCTAATACCTAAGTTATAAGAATATGTCGTGGAATATACGTGTATATATATCTATGTAAGTATTACATACCGGTATGTACATACATATACATATACATATATGTTCATACATATGCATATATGTTCATACATATAAGTATACATACATGTACACATACAAATACATATGCATATACATATACGTAAACATACATACATACATACATACATGCATGCATGCATGCATGCATGCATGCAAACAAACAGACACACAGAAACAAACAAGCAAACAAGCATACACACATACATGCATGCATACATGCATGCATACATGCATGCATACATGCATGCATACATGCACATACATACATACATATATATATATATATATATACATATGTATATATAGATATACACACATATACATATACATATACATATATACATATATATATATATATATGTATACATTTATGTGTGTGTGTGTGTCTGTGCGTTTGTGCTTGTATATGTATATGGAAACGTATATGTATATGTGTATGTATATTTGTATGTATATAACCTGTATGTGACTGTATGTGTATGTGCACGTGCATTTGTACGTATATGGTTCATAAGAATAGTTGCTGACTCGGTCTTTCTTCACTGAGGGCTGGAAGCGGCTCGGTCCCGCTTGCGGGCTCTCGCCCAAAAGAAAAGTTTCGGGTGGGTTTGGCGATTAAGAGGCATGGTTAGGGCTTGCGGTTTAGGGTAGAGGTATACGATGGTTTAGGATTTTAGGAATCAGGGGCATGGTCCAGGGTTCGAATACCAAAAGGTCCCATATGAAACCCCTACGACCCTGAACCGTAAACCACAAACCGAACCTCGGAAGCCTGATACTCCAACTCGAAACACAGACTCCTAACCCGGAACCTTGCACTATAAGCTCCCGAAGCCCCAAATATCTGCCGAAGTACTCTGCCCTAGGCATGGCGGACCGCTTTCCATCAGGACAGGGCTGCCTGCAGCAAAGTTAGGCTGCAGCAAATTTCGTTTTGTTCCTGTCACAACACGCGCTGCTACACTCTGCTTTTCTTTGGTGGGCCCGAGAGCTGTAGGGTAGGGTTTGTGTTTGCCCTGCCACTTTCGAAAGCTGGCTCTGGGAATAGGTAGCAGTGTTATGTCTGTGTAATGGGAACAAAGTTCGTACATACATACTTGACACCGTGTCGTATGTATCTAGAAGTTCATTTGCGCATGGGCATGTGGAATCCTCAATCACCGAGTCTCCAGCATTTTCGGAGGCGCTGTGTCAGGAATCACCAAGCTGAACTTCTGAACCCTATAATGGGTTCAGGGCTTAGGGCTCAGTGATCCCTAAACCCCAAACCCTACTCCGGCAGCTCCGGCCCTTTTTGCCTTGAAGCCCATTCAGCCTGATGCGGAAGCCCTTTAGGGTTTAGGGTTTAGGGTTTAGGGCCGCCAATCTTCCCTGTTAATCGCCCTTTTTCTGCCTGCTGCGATTGCAGGGTGTAGGCTTTGTGGTTGAACCCTGAGGGTTCCACTGCCCAACCATCGTAGAAATCCACCGAAACACTAATTATCACGGCAACCTCTAGAAGTCTATCCTGAACCGGAGTATGTACACCATCATCGGGGTTGATCTAGGTGCCTAAGTGCTTACCAATACTATCTTTGGGGTTCCTTACTATAATTATAGTTTCATGGGCCCCCAAACCCTATTCTAGTTATCGAGGGCCCTATATCATAGTACCCTTTTTGATCCCTTATTGTAACCCTTATAAGACCGCCTTTCATCCTTTTCTAGTTACTAAGGCCCCCCATGTTGGGATCGGCTGTGTACCTGGAGCTCTGTGACTCCGCTTCGAAGGCCAGGGGTCCTCGCAAAGTGGATGCAACACAACCATGAATATCATGCGTGTTTATTCAGGGTTTAGGGTTTAGGGTTACCTGGGACTTGTACGAGGTTGGTTTTCTAGGGCCCGTAGGGGGTTTTACCGGGCCTTCGTGAGGCTTTATCAATTTTCGTCAGGGTTTGAAAGGGTTCTTCTGAGAAGATTCGGTAAAGGGCTCCTGCTGTCTGGTGAGCGCTTCACAGGAGCAAAAATTAGGCGGTACTAGCGCCTCCCTTGGGTTGCATCAAGGTCCGTAAAAAGACAGGTCGAGCGCTTTATAGGGTCCAAAACTCAAAGATCCCAATGCCCCTTAAGTAAATACAGCCTAAAGAAAAATGTGGTTTAAGATATATACTCCTTATTGGGATCTCTGGGTGTTCAGGATACACCAACCATAGCTGTGACGATCCTGTTTTGCAAGGTTCGACCTGGCTGGGATTTGACAGTTTCTTTGACAGTGTGTACCCAGAGGCCCCATAGTAGTGCCTTTTGGGGATTACCTTATAGGATCCTATACATGAACTCCAAAAAGGAACTACTATGGGGCCTCTGGGTAGCATGATCCTGACAACAAGCAGCTCTAGACTCTCGACCCCTAACTCGAAACCTTTGGCTCAAAATTCAATCACTAAAGCGACGATTAACCCTAAACCCCTGTGCAAGATCCGAGGCCGGACACCTGAGAACAACTCAAGCCTCGCACCTTAAACCCTCCCCCAATCCTGGCGAGCCCGGTTTAAAGTTTCGTGTTTACAGATAAGGGGTCTAAACTGATTAAAAAAACTTCCCTTAATATATATATATATATATATTTATTTATTTATTTTTCTATAGGACATCGTAGGAATCCTGTACTTTCTGCCCCTCGCATGGAACGGGGGTATATTGACCATGGGTCGACATTAGGGGCTTGAAGGTGGACCTAGACCTCTACTGCACGCAGATCCAGAACCCAAATTCTGTTTAACAGCCAGAACGACTTAACATAGGGCCCTTGATCATTTCCATGGGGTATGGGGGGGGGGGGGTGTATCATAAGGTCTACCAAAGATAAGGTGTTCTTAACAATGGTTCCTATATGAACAGAAGGCCGTTAAAAAAAAAGAAAAAACACAACCACCTTCTATACAACAAGACAGTTCGGAAAGATCCCAGTGGATGACTGATGACAGGGGACTTCGCCCTTGCAATCCTGTCATGACCCACTGCACCCACAACCCCAAGACCCCCCATAGCGAAGCTACGAGAACTCTCACCTCCAGCCCCTCAAACCTTAAACTGAAGCTAGGGTTGGGGGGCCCAACTTACTATAATAATATATAGTCATAACAAAATTAACAAGCATAATAACTACTGCTATTGTTAAATATTTGGCTCTTGAACCAGAAACTCGACCCTTACCCTACCACAGCCGATTCTGCCAGTATTGCCCTAGTGCACACCATACATCCAGACTTCCAGGCTGCCCTACAAGACATCAGGCTGTGGTAAGTTGTGATCAATCTTCAACCCTAAACCCCGAGAGCTACGCATATCTCCCGCAAGCCCCTGTATCTACACCGAAACCTGCTCGAAGGTACCCAAAACCCTGAACCCTGGACCCCTTGAGCCCTAAACCCTGGACCCCTCAAGCCCTAAACCCTAAAACCCTAAACCCTAAACCCTAAAACCCTAAACCCTAAACCCTAAAACCCTAAACCCTAAACCCTAAAACCCTAAACCCTAAAACCCTAAACCCTAAAACCCTAAACCCTAAAACCCTAGACCCTAAACCTTCAACCGGATTCGAGGCTCCGGCCGTATTTGTCGACGGCGGAAGCAGCAGACTCGAGGCCTGAAGGAGCTCTCTGCTTGAATCTGGCTAGTTCGTGGGACTTTGTAAGTATATAGGTAATAGGTCCCTAAACCCTTTTGAAACCGGACTTGATGACTAAACCCTAAACCCTATTAATAGGTTTAGGGTTTAAGGGTTTGGGGGTTTAGGGTTTAGAGCCACAAGTACGCTAAAGGGGTCGACTCTCTAAGACTTCGGCTCATGTTTGGAGGGTTCCTAAAAGAAGAGACCTTGGGGTCCTTTAAGGGTTTACGGTTTACGGGGACCAGGTAAGTAGGCAATCAGTAGTAGAGCTACAGTCAGCTATGGGTACCCTTTTCCGAATCCCAATCGGGACTATGGTACTTACTTACAACTCCATAAAAGTTGCTTGGTACATCCCCCGCTCTCCAAGTCTTTAGGGTTTGGGGGTGTCCATAGGGCTTGGGGTTGAGGGTTTACTGGGCTTGGGGTTCTATTTAATCAGCTCCATAACGATCTAGTCTTCGTGGGAAACCACATCTTGACCGATGTCTGTTGGCTACTTAGAGACTTGGTGGTTCTGGGTTCTTCCCTGTTCTTCAAAAGGCTAATATGTGTTGACAGTCTTTGCAGCGAAGCCTGACATACGATTATAGGGACCTTACAGCAGTTAGATTATGGTCGTAGAGCACGGTGATTTTGAGGGTTCAAAGCGAAAGGGCGCATGTTACGGCTGCAAAGGTTGTTGGTTATAGTATTTCGGCCTGGAAATTTTGGAGTGCCTGGGATGCGGGTGTTATGGCCTCGATCTGGTATGCACAGGTGCGTGTACCACTTCGCAACAGCTTTTGTGGGTGCCAAAACAAAGGGATTTCGCTTCGAGCTCTCAAACTCGGACAATGCACGGTGAATGTCCACAACGATGCTGAGGTGACCGAAACAACCGCACAACCCGGATTGCCACATGGACAGCAGCCATCGCCCATTTTGTGGACACGCGGTCTCCAAGGAGACGAGAGGGCGGGGTTCGGCTAGACTAGGTTAAGTGGTACCACAACTGCACATCTGTGTCTGCAGACACGAGGTGGTACTGGTAGGAAGGGTGAAACGTGACAAAGTTTGGAAAACGTAGCTGGGTGCAATGGCAGCAGCCGGGCACGCTGGCAACCCGTCATCCGGTGGCACCGGATTTCTGGTTGGCCATGAAGTCGTCCTCGTAGCTCGGATTCAAGGAGATGAAGCCGGTTCTCTGCTGGGTGTCCGATCCACATCGTGCTCGTCGCCGTGCCGCGAAAGTGGCAAAAAGACCTTCGGGCTGTCGTCGCGGCTCTGCTCCCCTCTTCGTGTCAAGCTCTGGGGACGGTGTGTTTGCATTGAAAGTAGGAACCTCAACAGCGGGAGTCACGCATGCCAATGCGCTGAGCTGCAGCTGCGACGGGAACCGGTTACCCCTGTTTGGCAGACGGCGAGGGAGCTCGGCCGGCGGAGGAGGACCTCCTTCATGCGTGGAGCTCTGAGCATTTGTTCGTGCTTCGGGGCGAGCGGGTGTCACCTCCACGACGTGGTCCTTCTTGCATCCGCGACGACCTTGTGCATCGACGTCGAAGCCACGCTCGATACAGTCCGGACAAAACCAAGCTCCTCGTGGCACTTCTTGGAGTCCGACGCAAGCAACGTGAAACGTGGCATTGCAGGTACCATGCATGCCATCGCAGAGCAGCAGCTGAGTCTCGTCGCCAACCTCATGACACATCTCGCAAACCGAAATTTCCTGGAAAGCCTCGTCCTCCTGCTCCTCTTGGTCGCGGCTTTCGATCCTTGTCAAACAAGTCCTTTTGCCACTTTCATCATATGCTGCCAGCCAGAAGAATCGGGTCTTGCACTGAGGGCAGCTGTTTTCAGTCTGCGACCACTTTTCAACACAACTGTGATGGAAAAGATGCGTACAGTTGTCGATTGCACCCAGCTGCGAGTCGGGCTCGATCGGCAGCAAGCAAGCCCCACAAACCTTCTCGCCCTTGCCAGACCCATACCTGACAAAAACATGATGCACCATGAAATTAAGGAGTTAATGCTTCATTTGATAGCAAACCGAAGTTTTATAGTATATCTTAGAGCCCCAGACTTTTTTGAGGGTCAATAAGGGGCCCAGTATACTATAACTGTAGCAAGGAACCCCCAAAATAGTATTGGCAATTATTACCAGATGGCCCCTTGTTAGGTCCAAATATGTTATGGCACCTGACGAAAGTTGGCGCTGACTCGGTGAGGACTTCCCGGTCAATGACACGCTGGGACCTTGCTCGAGTAGTCAGCTTCCGCTTCTTCGGTGCCATGACTGCCCTGGTCTGTTCACTAGACTGCGGATCTGTGCAGTATAGCTGTCACGGAATCTAGTTTCCTATAGGCCGTGCCTGTCAAGGAAATGGACGACTCAGAGGTTCAAGTCTACATCAACTGCTTCATGAGTCAGACAGTTGAACCATGAACAGCATGCGCTCAAGCCAAAACGCTTCGGGTGCAATGGTCCTTGGCTCCAGGCTATGGGCTTTAGGTGGGCTTTACAATGGCTTTCTGAATTTCTGGTGGTTGAGGCATTGGGTGTGTTTTGGTGGTGATTTAGCTGCAGATGACTAACTTTGAGGTTGGGGGCCTTGGACCTGAAACCGCATCTAGCCCAAAACCCTACAACAAGCTAGGTTCTGAACCTTTGGCTGGACTTTGAAGTAACCAGGGAGAAAAATGTATAGAGTATTTCATAATGGCTCCGTTAAAGAACAGGCACCAAAAAGGTATTCAAGTATGGTACTCCAAACCCAGGTATTTTATACAAGCAAAGCAGCGGTGCAGGTGCTTGGATCCACGGGAAACGACGTCCTAATACAAGGCTCCCTACTCTACTACCCTAAACCCTAAACCTAAACCCTATGCTACCCAAAAAAAGGTTAAAGGCTCCCTACTCTACTACCCTAAACCCTAAACCTAAACCCTAAACCCTATGCTGCCCCAAAAAAAGGCTAAAGGTTCCCTACTCTACTACTAGGTCCCAGTACAAGGCTTGCACCTCTGGGGCTCCGGGCTGTCTGTGAACCAAGTCATCCGGACTACTGTTGTAGGAGTCTAAATAATTACCGATACTATTTTGGGGGTTCCGAAACACAATTATAGTAGAATGGGCTATATTATTACCGATACCAGTTTGGGGGGGGGCTCCTTGTTACAATTCTAGTAGAATGGGCTCTTTTGTTACCAGTACTACTTTTGCTGGCTCCTTCAAATTATAGCATAGTAGAAAGGCCTGTATTATGCACAGGACTCTTGACATATGTGCCTTTTCGGCACATGTACTTGTACGAGGTCCTAGACACTTCTGACATTGCAAAGCACAAGTTGGTCGCTGCGGTCGAATGCCGCCTGGCCACTCCAGCACTTAACTAATGGTTCACCTACAGGGAACTCGGAATATGGATTAATGGTAGGATCCCCTATAATTTACCTTAAAGGGGTTACGATAATGATATTCCAACTTTCTGGCTTCTACTGTATAATAAGGCTTAGCCGGAGCAAAAACCCGCTACTATGGGGCCTCTGGGTAAACCCCACAAAAGAGAACACAGGAAGAACCGCCTGCTCCGCGAAGGCACGCGGCCAACAGAGGCGCGGCCTACACGGAGAGGCTCTCCCGAGTGTTTATCATGCGGTCGATAATAATAGCAATCGTAATAATGGTAATAACAATAATAGTATGGAGGCCTAAATGATTAGAACTGCTAGTGTGGGTAGTGTACATGGACCATTCTTAATGCAAACCCGAAAAGCCCTGATATGCCGTAAACTTTGCAGTATGTGCGGGCCCTGCAAAGGTTTGTGTGTGACCATCCACGAATCTACCATGCTAAGGATGCACGGCGTCTGGATTGAGTGTAGTAGCCTGAAACAACAGTAATACAGTAGTACTCTTCCTTAGGGTTCCTTACGACAAGAAGTTAACAAGAAGTGCAAACCAAGAATAAGGCCCTTATGCTGAAGAGCTTCAAGTTTTCGAGTACTGGATCACACCTGGTTGACCGGTACGCCTCTCCGAATTGCGAAAAACCACGGCGCTCCAAAGGTGTATGATATCATATTGATCGACAAGAGATATTGAAGGAATGCCTGAACTGCCTTAGCCTGGCACTTGCTGCAGCATTTGCAACACCATCTCCGATGATGCTGTTGTTGGCACTGTTGGCTTCTCTTGTCTGTGCTTCATGTCGAGAATGTAACCCAAAAGCCTATGGCTATGCCCTAAATCCCAGTCCTAATCCCTGACTCAACCTCTAAACTCTGAACCATTAAGTGTCGCGCTAAAGGTATCCGATACTTCCCCGTGAATGGCTTCTTGGCACCTGCGGCCCTACTATTCGGGCCAGTCCGGGTATCTGGGCAGCGGGAAGCAATGTAACATCACACAAAACCATCCTTTGCCAAGATCGTCCACTAAACTCTACACACACACACACATCACTACCTTGTGCCATGGTAGAACAGGGATCTCGGGAATCGCAAAGAAGCTGGGCATCTACGGGCCCAAACAGAAAACATTGATCGTCATTTTGCGGAATAAGGTCCCTTAGATGTAGTTACAATCTAGTAAATTTAGAAATTCTCAGATCCTTATGTGCTTTGAGCTTGCCCCTAAACCATACACGATCCCAACCGAAGCCGCCATCGCACCTCATTTGGAGGCCGCTCCACGGTGAGCGCACCAGCACTGCGCGCCTTGCTTTTAGGTTCCCTATGGGTCTTATGTAAAGACTTGACTAGTGTAGGAGGTCAGGAAGTTACCCCAAGGCCCCAAAGTAGTTCCTTTTTGGGATTACCTTATAGGATTCTATATATGAACCCCAAAAAGGAACTACTATGGGGCCTATGGGGCCTTAGGGTAAACCCTAAATCATAAAACGTACCTACAAAAACTTGGCGGAGCAACTTCATGTTGAGCTGATGGGACTGGCTTCGTCTTCGCAAGTCTAACCCTCTTGCCTAAACCATGCGTTTCAGATATCGCGGCTGGGGTAAACCTCCTGACCCCTAAACCCAAAACCCCCTGGACCCCGAACCTGCTGAGTTCTGTGTGTCAACTCAAACCCTCAAAGACTGACGACGGACCCTAAATCCAGGAAACCAGAAGCCCTAATTGTCAAAACCCAACTCTGGGTTTAAAGACTCTGAAAACCTTGATGAAAACATAAACCGAAATTAACCCAAAGTCAATGACTGAAGACCCTGGCCCCCAAGAACACATTCGGAGTACAGCTATTGAAACCTCAAGTCATTACACTTAGGATGGTACAGCCACTACCCTTTCGATCCTCCTAGGAATAATCTTCGGGCTGCTATAACTATACTGAACTTAGATCCTAGCAAAAAGCTATAATTTTGCTGTTTCTTAGGGATTATAAAGCTAAAAACTCAAAAATATTTTTAGTACCCCTAAGACAAGGCTAGCCCCAAACACTGAACACTCAGGGCAGCCTGGGGTCGGAGCCGCGACTTCATGAACGGAGGTTTCCCTGAAGAAGGGGCGGCCTGAATTAGACAAGGGCTTCGGGTCTAAGCTTTGTCTTGCTCATACCTTAAGCCGGAATAACCTACCTTTTTAGGGTTCCTTATTATGATTTCCGTATATAAATCCTTAAAAAGGTAAGTTATTCCGGCTTAAGGTAGGGTTTGGAGGGCTCACCGGGTTTATAGGGCTCAGGTCCTCCCAGGGTTTACGGCTTGTCGGATTTAGAGGCTCTTTTGCTGGATGGCGGTCTCATGCGGAGGGCTTTTGACCGGAAGTCACTCGACGATTGCGGCTATTTCAACGCTCAGGCCTTGCAGCTTTCAGCCGGGCATCTGGAACCATAATAGCGGACTAGGTGGGGCTTTTAGAGCTTTTGAAAAATATTATAAATAAGATCCTCTTAAGCCCAATAAGGGAAAATGTAAAATGTCCCAAAGCCCTACCTAGCGGAGAGTTTGGTAGCTAGATGACGTGGCTCAGGGTGGTCAAAGAGTTTTGGGGTAGTTCAGAGCTTGGACTTCAGAAGTTCCCAGAGACTCAACTATCCCTTAATTCCTTAACCCTTTGCGCCGAACCAGAACCACAGGGTTTAGATCAACAAGGCTTATATGAAAGGAACCCAAAATCTTATTTTTGTATGTGGTTGGCTTTATCTGTGTTTAAAAGTTTTTAAAAGTCGTTTAAAGATTGTATTTGTATTTTAAAGTTTTTTTCGTATTCAAAAGTTTTTAAAAGTCTTTTAACGTTTTTATTTGTCTTTTAATGTCTTTATTTGGTTTTAAGGTTTATATTTTTGGAATTATAAGTATTTGGTTGTGATTGAGTCAAGTGGCTTCCTGTTGTTCTACCTGGTTTCCTGCTGTTGTACGTCTACAAATTTGTTGTTTATTTGTTTTTGAAATTATTATTTCATCAATTTAACCATTTTTGGTTGTGATTGCGTCAAATGATAAACGGCATCCTGCTGTTCAACCTGGCTTCCTGCTGTTCTACGTCTACAAATTTGTTTTGTTTGTTTTTAAAATTGTTTATCAATTTAAGTTGGGGGTTGTGATTGATTCTAAGGGTTTAAGGTGTCCTTTGAAATGCCTTCCCCACATGGATTCGAGCGGTGCAGTGGTGTGTCGTACAGTAGTAGTACAAGTAATAGCACAGTAGTAATGCAGTAGTACAATAGTAGTACCGTAATTAGTAGTGACGAAACGCAAATCCCCAAATCACGCAGATTTGTATTAAAAATAAGTTCCCAAATCATGAACCGCAAGGGCTCCCCCTACGGCTGTCTAAAAACTCGCAGCTCGCAAGGGGTGTCCGGTGCCTGTCCCCATAGCAAAATCATCAAATCGCAAGGCGTGTCCCTCGAAAGTAGGGCGTGGGTCGGGTGCGGGGGGGTGGGGTCGGCTGGGGGGCTGGGCTGGCTGGGGCCACGATTTGGCGTCTTGGAATTGGGCTGTGCTGGTGTTGGGGCTGGGGGGATGGCCAGTCCCCGGCTCAACCACCCCAGTGTGGATTGCTTTTCCTAAATCCGTGACCAGACTGAGCCAGGTTTTCTATATCTTGTTTTGCTTCCAAGCAGGAGGCGACGTTGTGATTCGTTTTGTGTAAAGAAGTTTTGGGCCAAGACACACAACAACAGACTTGCACAAAACAGTCACCAAGCAAACACAAACCAGTAGCAACATGCCAAGCGCATGCGAATACTTAAATTGACTAATAGCATCACCCCATTAATACAGGTTAATGTGAGGGTCCTTCTGACTAGTTGATGCGTGTTTCCTGTGCTTATTCGGGCCTGTATCAAAAAATTGTGGCCTTAATGATTAGTGCGTTCTTTGTTGGGCCGACTGATTTTTTTGTACTTCTCTTCTACGACTGTCCTACTACTGTACTATTACAATACTAATGCACTGCTGTACAGGAGTGTAGGCCGGACGAAAAAAGTTTTCAACATGAAAGGCTTTTAGTGGTGCTATCTTGGAGTGATCGTGGTTTGGATTTTGGTCGTGCCCACACCCCGCTAAACAACTCCAGGTACTCCCACACCCTCGTAATGTACCCCTACTGTACTACCACTTTACTACTACCCTCTTACTACTGTACTTCTGTACTACTATTGCACTGCTACTGTAAAACCTAATGGGACACCCCTTGCGGGCCCCAGGCCCCAACCCCAGCCCACCACCGCATCTGTTAGCAAAATCTGGCGGAAGTGAGCCGCAACCGAGCGGAAAGCCTGTAAATACCGCGTTAAAACAACGGCCAGGGATCCCACACATCTGCGGGCAAAATCTGGCGGAAGTGATCCGCCACCGAGCAAAAAGGCCAACAGACCCAACAGCCCCAGCCCCAGCAGCCCCCGCAGCCCCAGCCCCAGCAGCCCCCGCAGCCCCAGCCCCAGCAGCCCCAGCCGAGCAGCCCCAGCCCCAGCCCCAGCAGCATTTTATCATGAAGCCTTTTCTGGAAGATCGGCCCGGCAAAATCTTAGAAGACATTTGTGGCACTTGTGGCACGCCCCGGAAAAATCTTATTAAATCTTATTGAATCTTATTGAATCTTATTGAATCTTATTGAATCTTATTAAATCTTATTGAATCTTATTGGTTCATCATTTTTAAAAGGGACACGACTCCAGACCGCCCCAAAAAATCTTATTGAATCTTATTGAATCTTAGAAGACATTTGTACAATTGTGGCACGCCCCGGAAAAATCTTATTGAATCTTATTGAATCTTATTAAATCTTATTAAATCTTATTGAATCTTATTGAATCTTATTGAATCTTATTAAATCTTATTGAATCTTATTGGTCCATCATGTTTAAAAGGGACACCGACTCCAGACCGCCCCAAAAAATCTTATTGAATCTTATTGAATCTTAGAAGACATTTGTACAATTGTGGCACGCCCCGGAAAAATCTTATTGAATCTTATTGCTAAGCCCTGTTGATCCAAACTTTGTAGTTTTGGCCCCCAGGGGGGGCGGGGGGGAGACCCCCCCCGAGTGACCCCCCCCGTGGAAGCGTCTTTTCTTGGATAGATAGATAGAGAGTCTCTTTGCAGGGAGATTATATTAAATCTAATCAGTGTTAGAAAGGAACACAAAACAAATAAAATCTTACTACATCTAGCTAAATCTCATTAAATATTAATTAGTCTTTTGAAAAATTATGAAGTCCCGAGCCCGGTCCCCAGCCCTCGCCCTTGCGCCTTATCAGCCCACCTCCCAGGCCAGCCTCGCCCCCGCGCCAAACTCAAAGCCATGACCCTATAAGCACATATAGATACCAGATACGACAGCAAACAGCAAAACATATAAAGAGCAAAGACAAAGCACCCACACAAAGCAAAGTTTACAGCGGCGCTCCCTGCTTGAGTCGATGAACACACTACTGTGCTTGTACTGTGCTACTACTGTACTACTATTGCACCAATGTACTACTGTGCTACTGTACTACTGTACTTTGTACTACACGCCACTGTACCGTACCAGGCCTCAAACTTGGTCGATCGTGGGGGTGTTTAGGTTGGAGGCAAAAGTCTTTAACATGAAAGGTTTTTAGTGTTGGTAGTTATCTTGGAGTGATCGCGGCTTGGTTTCAAGTTTTTGGTGATCCCCAAACCCCCCGACCGCGGCGTTCGCGCAGGTTTCAAACCGACCCTGCGACCCCCCATTTCCCTTCTAACTTAACCAAAGCCATTCAGACCCTCAGCCAGCCGAACCCCGGTCCAGGGGGTCACGGACACCAGACTATTCAAGCCAAAAACCTTTGGTCGAGGGGGGGTGGCTATTACACGGCCGCCACATTACAGGTAGCAGAGATACAAGAAGAAGCTCGATGATGCGCAGGTGAATAAACGTAATAGTCCAGTAGTAATGCATGTAATAGTACAGTAGTAATGCAGTAGTAGTACAGTAGTAGTACGGTACGAGGTTTTTAAGTGTACTTGGAGCTGTTTAACGGTGGGGGATCACCAAAGGCCGGAAACCAAAAGCCCCGATCACTCCAAGATACTACCAACACTAAAAACCTTTCATTTTGTAGACTTTTGCCTCCAACCTACACTCCCCTCCACAATCGACCACGTCTGAGGCCCGGTACGGTACAGTAGTAGTACAGTAGTAGTACAACAGGGTAGAGTAGTACAATAGTAGTACTGTAGTACGACAGTCGTACAGTAGTGGTTACAGTGCAGTACGAGGGTTTAGGGGTACTTGGATCTGTCTAGAGAGGTTTGGGGACGACCAACAGTCGAAGCCAACCCACGGTCACTCCACGAGAACTACCAAAACTGCAAACCTTTCACTCTGAAGACTTTTGCCTCCAACCTACACTCCCCTCCACTCGACCACGTCTGAGGCCTGGTGCGGTGCAGTGGTGTGTCGTGCAGTAGTAGTACAAGTACTAGCACGGTAGTAATGCAGTAGTAGTACAGTAGTACAATAGTAGTACCGTCGTAGTACTGTAGCGGTGCCATAGTAGTACAGAAGTATACTTGTAAGAGGGTAGTAGTAAAGTGGTAGTACACTAGTATTAAAGTAGTTGTACAGTAGTAGTACAGTAGTGGTACAGTAGGAGGGTGTGGGAGTACCTGGAGCTGTTTAGCGGGGTGGGCACGACCAAAAGCCCGAAGCCAAGCCACGATCATTCCAAGATAACTACCAAAACTGAATCCCATTCATATTGAAGACCTTAGCACTTTGCCTTTCAGCCATTACCCTTAAACCCTATACCATGGCACTCTGCCTTGTAACCCTAAACCCTAAAACCCTGAAACTCTAACCCTAACCCTCTCATTACCTTCAAACCCCTAATACTATGGCACTCTGCCTTCTAACCCCAAACCCTAAAGACCCTGAAACTGTAAACCCTGTGCCAGGTCTTCTTCATCCTCGTCTTCTCGGAAAAAACCTTAAAAATGTAGAAAAAATACTTTTTTTTGTGTTTTAAAGTTTTTAAACACTTTTAAAAGTTGTTTAAAGTCTTTAAAAGTCTTTCAAAGTCTTTTAAAGTTTGTAAAAGCTTTTAAAAGCTTTTAAAAGTCTTTTAAAAGTCTTTTAAAGTCTTTTAAAGTCTTTTAAATGTCTTTTAAAGTTTTTAAAAGTCTTTTACATATTTTAAAAGCCTTTTAAAGTTTTGAAAAGTCTTTTAAAGTTTGCAAAAGTCTTCTAAAGTTTCTAAAAGTCTTTTAAAGTTTTGAAAAGTTTTTAGAAGGTTTTTTCTTGCATTTTAAAGTTTTTAAAAGTCTGTAAAAGTTTTTAAAAGCCAACTCTGTCGAACAAGCCCTGTGGATCTAAACCCTGTGGTTCTGGTTCGGTGCAAAGGGTCAATGATTAATTAAGGAATAACCCTTAAATCATAAAAGGGATCCTACTATAATTTAAGGTATGTTCCTTGATTGGGAGTTTCCGAAAATAGGGGACCCTAATATAGTGCCCTAAATAATAGGATCCTTATTATAAGGACCCCAAAATAAGGTACCCCTAATTTTTGGAAACTCCCATATTCCTTAATTAACGGATATTGGAGTCTCTGGGTTTAGGGGTTGAGGGGTTTAGGGGCTTGGAGGTTTGGGGTTGAGGGGTTTGGGGTTTAGGGGTTTAGGGGCTTGGCGGTTTAGGGGTTTAGGGGTTTAGCGGTTTTGGGGTTTAGGGGTTTAGGGGTTTGGGGGTTTAGGGGTTTAGGGGTGTAGGGGTTTAGGGGTTTGGGGGTTTAGGGGTTGAGGGGTTTAGGGGCTTGGGGGTTTAGGGGTTTGGGGTTTGGGGTTTAGCGGTTTAGGGGTTGCGTCTCGGGGTTTGCTTAGCCGTGCAGTGTTGTGTGGGTCTATACCTCTATATAGTCTCCGTTGTAGTTCCTTTTTTTGGTTATCCAAAATCTCTATTATAGGATCCTAACCATAAAACTGGATAACCGAAAAAAGGGACTACAATGGAGACTATATGTAGTTTGAGGCATACAGTCTAAGGGTCAAGAAGTTTCGGGCTTGCGTAAGTTCTGTTGGGGTGAGGAGCAAAGGGACCCGGCATCGTGAAGCGTAATATAGGGGCCGCAGAACAGAATTGTAAGAGCGTTTGGGGATATAGCCGTGCCAGATATCCTACCAAGGCAAAGAAGATTACAAGTAAAAAACAAGCCCGTATATTAGCGCCACATGTCCCAAACAAATGCGTCGAGGTCCAACTTCCAAGCGTCCCAACACAGGAGCATCCGGAACTGTGCTTGTCATGGCTTCTGCGACGGGTAGGGCTCGTAGTCATATCTGCGCTCAGCCTTTCCCCGCTCGTTTTTCGATGCTAGGCAAAACACAGCTCACCAAACCTTCTACCCAAAACCCTTAAACGACTCATCACAACCCGACAGCGTAGTCGCGAGAAGACCGTACCTGAAGGACCAAATGACCCTTAAAAGTAGGGGCCCTCTACCCATATACTCTGAATCCCTATATGGTATATGAACCTTAAACCTTTTTGGGGTTCATTTCGTCCTTAAGGTACTCCCAAACAACCCCTTTCTCGCCTTGGAGCCCAGGGTGCAGGGTGTAGAAGACCTCAGCACCTTACCCCGAGGATCCATGTGCTTACTTATATTGTGGATACTTAAGCCTTAATTCAACTACCTATATAATATATAGGGAGCCCCGTAGGCCTACATAAGTATATACTGTACATGAACTTACATAGTAGTTATAGATACTTAGGCCTTAATTCAACTACCTACATATGGGATAGGGAGCCCCGTTAGGCCTAAGTATATACTGTACATGAGTACTCTATGAGTACATGGAGCCGCCGAGTTTCCCGCAATCAGTCTGCAGTTGTCGCGACGCCAAGTTATATAGTAACGTTGAACCGTCGGGGGCTCTACCCATAGGCCCCAAAGTAGTTCCTTTTGGGGATTACCTTATAGGATTCTGTATATGAACCCCAAAAAGGAACTACTTTGGGGCCTTTGGGTAGACTTTCGCAACTGCCGAGGAACCACAGGAATGTGCACAAGCCGATGTACTAGCACTGATTTGCCACGAGGAGATCTTGTGGGTTTGAGGCTCAGGGGACAAGGCTTTTATGATGATTCCCAGACCGCCGGGAGGATCTAGAAAGTAGATCCCCCAATTTGGGGCCCTATACTACTAAGGGTACTTTATAGGAACCCCCATTAAGGGATCTACTTTTTGGATCCTCCCGGGGGTCTGGGTTGCTGAGTGCTACGTCGATAATCATATGACAATGCTTTGCTGATGGCGGAAGGGGACCAGAAGGTGTAATATATGCACAGCACTACAGCATGCCGGTCGTAGGGGAGACTGCTTCCCATGCCAGAGAGAGCTGCACCTTGAAATGGCTTCTGTAGAATCTAGGGTTGACGAAACTGAAAGCTTCGCGAAGTTGATAACTTCAAAAGGAGGTCAAACTCATCCTGGGACCGGCCCTTGAAAGATATCGAGGGAACCTAGCCTTTTGGTATGGATCTTTTGGTAAAGGCGAGCAAGACCAAGGAAGTTCCTCTATGAACCTGACCCAAGGTATAGGCTCCGTCAGTTTGGGCCTCCAGCTGCATGGAGCATCTAAGCAACCAAACCCTAAACCCTTAAGTCCTGAATTGCTTAAACCCTAAACTTGCAGAAACTCTAAGAATCTCTCAAAGCCTAAACCCCAAACTCTAAAAGATAACGTGTCGAGCTGGGATGGAGAACGGAGCGCAGATCCAACAAAAGCAGTATGTGACCTGGCTCGGCAAATCAGAGATTCGAAAGATGGAGCTGGTTCTGCAGGTGTTCTCAGAGACTCCAATATCCCTTAATTAAGGCATATCCCTTAAATCATATAAGGGAGCCTACTATAATTTAAGGAATGTTCCTTAATAAAGGGATATTGGAGTCTCTGGGTTCACTGTTTCGGGTTAACGGTAAAAAGGGTCTTAGGCCTCTCGGGGGAGCTAAACTGGACCATGAAGTAACCAGCGAGAAAAGAACTATAGACTGTTATTTCATAATGGTTCCATTATAAGGAACAGGTACCAAAAAACATATTCCAGTATGTATGGTACTCGAATCTCAGGTAAAGAGCTTTGCATTCTTGATATTTAGGGTTCTATAGAGTCATAGGATCTAGGGCCTCTAGGGGGAGTTCTCAGGCTTTACAGTCTCACAACCACCCAAAGGCCCCGCGAGACTCCGTCTAGGGGACTCTTACTTAAAGGCTCATGGGACTTAGTAACTAGGGTTATAAACAAGGTAACTATACTTATGATTACTTATAACCCCAATTAGGGGACTTCTAACCTTACTTACTAAGTCCCATGATCCACTAAGTACAGTCCGGGGTCCACTTCTGGTCTTTGAAAATATGGGGGTTTCCGAAAACAGGGGACCCTAATATAGTACGTGTACCCTAAATAATAGGACCCTTATTATAAGGACCCCAAAAAAGGGTACCCCTAATTTTCGGAAAGTCCCAAATATGGAGGCCTGAATTATTTGAACAACCCTTCTGTACGACTGCTGAAACGTTCCTGGAAGAAGGGGTCTTTAGGGCTGCACGAAATGTTAACTCTGCAAGTTGGAAGGATTGTCCGACGAACTTTTCGTTGAACGACAACCTAAGAACACAGATTTCCTGAGAATGTCATCAAATCCACATTGAGCTAACGAAAACAGGAGAAGGACATGCCACTTCAACCAGCAGTTAGCATAGCGGGAGGACGAGCAGGTATTCAACTGTACTCCTCCTTGCAGAGCTTTTGATGTCCTGAGCAGTCTCCCACAACACCCTGAAAACCCTCCCTGCCCTGAAATCAGCTCCCAAACGGCCGAATATAGGGGCCTTAATAATTAGAATAGGGCTTTGGGGCATATTATACTATAACTATAGAAGGAACCTAGGAAAAATAGCGGTAAATATTTAGGCTTTTTTGTAGCAGCACTACAAAACTACAACCCTATGAAAGCACCCAGCACAAGGTGGCCGAAGGGCGTGGTACTCCAGTGGATGCCGCGCTGGCCTCCCCACAGACTTCATGTTATATGGTACCATGTAGACTTTGGATCAAGGTTCAGTTCTTGTTCGTGGACTTCCAGGTCAAAGATAGATTGTACAGCTAATTACTCGGAATGCTGAGCCCGAAAGTCAAACTCAATGGCAGGATCTGTAGTTGAAGCCACGTGCGCGTAGGAATCCTGACAGACAACCCACCGCTTCCTACCCATGATCCATGAAGTTGTCAACTACATGCGCCCGACTTAGGGCTTTCATAAACGAGATCCCAACCTTTGGGCAGAGCTGCAGTGGACCTACAGAGGAGCTATGAGGGCACCATGTCAGCGTGAGTGTAAGGTGCATAGACAGGTGTGTCTTTGTGGCATTTCGGCCCCCATGGCTGCGATCCCCACTTGAATGATCCTTCACCATGCGCCTTGAGCCGACTCATCGGCAACATGGCCACATGACCTGCAAAAACGCAAAAGACCGCGAACTTTACGCTTCGGTTAAAAACCGGTCCTGGGAGCATTACGGCGATGTCTTCTGGGAATACTCTAGACTGGAGGGTTTTGGACATAGGAAGGCTTCTTCAGCATCTGCATGTCTGAAATTCAACTACCGTGGTCCCAAGGCCATGATATGCAAGAGTCTCGGGTTTAGGGTTGCTAGTTTGAACGAATTGTGGCTTTCGGGTTTTCGGGTTGAGGGGGCCTGGGGCGCTGCTCTTCGACCTTCTTTTCAGGCTATAGGGTTCGCAAGAATGTGTTTGAGAATTGTTGCCTCCCGCCTGGCTAGGACGAACCTACGATGCAATGTGTTTGAGAATGACTAGCTTGAAAGGGCCAGGACATAGGGTCTATCTCAATGAGCCTGATTCTCAAACCAAGGGCCCCGACAGGAATTTATAGCGCCTCCAGTTACCTCCTGATGCTCTGAGCAGCTGGACGACTGAAAAAGAAAACTGCCATGTTCATCCTTCACGCCCCAAACTTCACAAAAAAAACCTGCGCCGAAGTCAGTGTATCAACCCTAGAGACAAAGCTGAGTACATGGCCTGGGCTCTAAACTTCTAGACCGGACAGTCGGGGAAGAAGGGCACGAAATCCCAGCTGATTCCATCTCCGCCAACAGAAACCGGCTTATTAAAAAGAACTATAAGGTCACGGACACTGACACTCACTAACAAGAACCAAACAAATAAGCACACACCCAAAACCAGACAAACACAATATCATAAGTTTCCAGGTTGAGAGCCGTACCCGATGGCTCCATCTCCTTGGATGCCCCGCTGGAACAACTGGCCTCGGCTTAGAGGATCATGGCACTTAGTAAGTAAGGTTATAAGTCCCCTAATTAGGGTTCTAAGTAATTATAAGTACAGTTACCTTATTTATAACCCTAGTTACTATAAGTCCCATGAGCCTTTTAAGTGGAGGTCTCGCCTGGGCTTTGGAACCGATTGGTAGGGCTTGGGGTCTAGAACTTTTCTGCTTCCCCCGTCATGAGGTGTTTTAAAACTGTATGAGTATATACGGGTTGTTGTGGCTTAGCATCCAGCAGACTCAATGATCAGGTATTTGGGTCTCAGAGAATAATTTGGCGGGATAATTCATTCTGGCACTTTCGGATAGTAGCATTTCGTGTTTTGGGGCGTCGGGGTTTCACAGCTTTTGCGCAGGGCGTCGAGAGGAGATGCCCTCTACCCAAATCAAACGGATTTACGCGCAGTGAAAAGATCGGTGGTGGAGCGACGAAGTACCATCTTGAAAGGCGGCAGCGCAGATGGTTGTCTTAACCGTGACAAGACTCCCTTTGTTCATAGAATTTGGGGTTCGGGGCTTTGGGCTTGGGGTTGCTACCCCTCCCACATACTAATGCAACGTGTCGCTGCATTTGTACAGTCTTATAGACAAGCTTGCTCAAAACCGAACTCGCAAACTCTGAACCCTGCATCCCGAACCTAATGGCACGGTGTATCAAGAACTTGGGCTCGTGCTTGGATGTGCCTGTTCACGCAACCCCCCCCCGCCCCGCCGCCATCCTGCGCTACAAAACCCTTAACTATCTCAGAATCCCGAAACTTGAACCCACACATACAGGCCGCATGGCTGAGGCAACGGCATGGCAACACCTCGGATCAATCACCCGTCGGCCCAAGACCCTCTTTGCACCGGGGCCTGAAAGAGGGAAAACCTTTTCTTCGGGGATATGCTTTACCATCCATATCTAAATCTCTCCACCCGAAGACAGGAACAACTACTGAGTCGTTGGTACCTTCTGTGGGCCATCTGGGGTGATCGACCCTAAACCCTAAACCCTAGACCCTAAACCCTAAACCCTAAACCCTAAACCCTAGACCCTAAACCCTAAACCCTAAACCCTAAACCCTAGACCCTAAACCCTAAACCCTAGACCCTAAACCCTAAACCCTAAACCCTCAAGACAGCAATAAATAGAAATTGTATCGTTTCTTTGCATCGACGAGCTGGAATTGCATAGACCTACGATTAAGGGCGAACATAAGGTACCTGGCCCTTCTCTGCTCTCCTTCGACTGAGGGCGAACAGAAGGTTCATGGCCCTCCTCTCCTATCCTTCAACTAAGGGCGAACATAAGGTATATGGCACTCCTCTGCTCTCGTTCAATTACGGGAGAACATAAAGTTACTAGCCCTCCTCTGCTCTCCTTCAATTATGGGCGAACATAAGGTACAGGAGGCCTCCCCTGCTCTCCTTCAATTAAGGGCGAACAGGTCAGAAGCTGCAGCCACGGCAGTCGTGCCAGGCCAGCAAGCACACGGGACAGGCTTGCGACAGTTCTCGAAAAAAAACCAACCAACAGTCTGTAGTAGGCAGCAAGCAACCCCAACTGCAGGATGTAGCTCAGCCGAAAAAATCGTAGTCGCCAGCAAATTTTCAATAGCAAACAGCAACAAGCTTCGGTTTCAGCTACGGCGCACCAGCAGCTTTCAAAAGCGGCCAACGCCAATTCGCAAGCAACACTTCCGCAGCAGCAAAGACAAGTAACCCAGCCCAACGCAAAAAACAAAACTTTCGGTCAAAACTTTCGGTCAAAACTCATGGACCTAAACCCTATACCACAATTCCAGGCAGACAGGCAGGCAGGCAGTCATGACGTAGCAGGCAGCAGGCAACAGGCAGGCGGGCAGTCATGACGTAGCAGGCAGCAGGCAACCCAGTTGCAACCCAGCCAAAAGAGGCAAAAACAAAAACTTTCGCAAAAAACTTTCGGTCAAAAGTCATGGACCCAAACCCTATACAATTTCTATAAACCCTAGACCTTAAACCCTAAACCCTAAGAAATGCCAGCTACTATGGGCTGATGAGCCTCACAGGGCTGAGATACCGCAAGGCCGTTGCGTTACTTCGAGCTCAGGGGCTTGGTAATGAACCACGATTTGGGAGTTTCCGAAAATAGGGGTACCTTATTTTGGGGTCCTTATTATAAGGATCCTACTATTTAGGGTACTATATAAGGGTCCCCCATTTTCGGAAACTCCCATTTCGAAGCCTTATCCCAAATCGCAGACTTCCCCGAGTGTTTCGGTTAAGAAATTGTAGAGCATGTTGGTGTTAATGTAACGTTTTCTGTCGTTTCAGGGCGTCTCTTGGACTTGCCAGATGAGGTCGTTGGGATTTTCGCGAAACTCCGCAATGTGCACAGGGCTTGTCGGCTAAAAGGTTTCGGTTTAAAGGCTGAGGGCTCCGGATTTCAAGTGTAGGTTTTGTTGCTCCAGCGGGTAAGTGTTCAGAAGGTAGAAGTTGCTCGAGTTCGCCGCAAGATCTTCGCACCATTTCTTCTGAAGATGCGGTGTCCGTGGCGTCTTGCCAAAATTTAAGATCCGAATCCATTAAGCAGTCGTGCTTGACGAATACCTACTTCTTCCAGGAACGACATAAAAATCACCCCTCAACCCCAGTAACACCAAAACGGTTCCTCTCAAGGGCACGCTGTGAAGGCTGGGTGCCGTGCGTGAACCATCTCATTCACCTTAGTTCTTCAGCGTGCGGGTCGGTCTAGACCGTCTGGCCACCATGAAGAGCCCTTCGACTGTCAGATCGAAGCGTCATAGGATTGCTGTGATTACTCTTAGCGAAGTGGAAACCCTGTAGAGTCCGAATTGAGGCAGCTCCTCAGCAGCATCGGCCTTCATACGGCAATAGACGAGAGACTAGACCAGGCCAAGACAGGTACCCAGAAGGAGCAGCAGAAGCAGTAGTTGTCGCAGTTTGATACTGGTAGTCTCGGGACATAGTCGTCGTAATAGTCTTCGTAGTAATTATAGTAGGAGGAGGTAGGAGGTAGCGGCTAGTAGATAGTAGGTGGTACGCAGTAGTGAGGCGAGGCCTGGACAAGGCTGGCTGAGAGTCCTGAGTTGAACATGGCTAGATCAAACGAGCTGAGTGGCACCTCGCACCGCTGCAGCTATTGCGGCTACATACACCAATGTTCAATGCTCGCCGTGCTAGTTGGGCTATCTGAGATCTGGGCAACTAGGACTAGCACCTAGACTACGAGTTCTGTTGCTGATGCTGCTACTGCCATGTCTCCGCCGATGACCGCAGCAACCCTATAGCCCTAAGCCCCACACCCCGTAAAACTAGCATCGAACACCGATAAGCCGAAGTCGTTTCACGGGCAGCCGAGGTACAATCGTATCCCGGAGCATTGTGCTGAGTAGTCGGGGGCCAGTTCCACCCCGTGCATCGTCCTCGACGTCAACGGCAAGGATTCCCAAAGCCCTACGTGGACAACAAACGACAATAACCCACCTTTTCAGGCAACAAGTCCTGAAAACTGTAGGGAACTTAGGGTCCAGGTAAGCCTTAAACCCTGACATCGGAACCTCGTGAGCAACCTGGGCTTCGACTTACCTTTAATCGGGGCCGTGTGAAGAACCCTAATTGGCTTAGGGCTTTGTGTTTAGGCACGCGCTTGCACGAACACCCAAGAAGACTTTCGCCTCTAGCATTCAAGGGTCGCAGGAGTGATTTTTCATGAGTCCAACCCATCTGAAAGACAAGCAAATGCGTCAACCCATAAACAAATCTCGGTACAATATACACATACAAATATGCAGTGCATATCTGATTTTCACATATATACATATATAGTTTGAATATACACACCTACCTACCTACATACTTATTAATATAGACGGGAAGGTGCACAGCATACAAATAAACCCCTCAGCATTAAAAATAATACCAAGTCATCGTGTTTACTAACTTACAAGTACATGGGGACTACTGGTACAAGTGCAGCTTTTACACCTGAATGAAGATTGTTCATTATATCGGTATGCGGATACCGGCTTTCGGTGGAAGCGACGGCCAATAATATGACAACACAGCCGGACGGCCAGACAACAATCGTGGAGGCCACGGCACTTTACTGCCTTGTAAGAAGAGGAGTTAACTGAACGGTTAGCCCTCTAGCCATAAGTAGGAATATGTACACCACAAACGGGTAAAAAAGGTCACTTAAGCCAGAAGGCACCCTACGGCGTGTCGAATCAAGTCGACAAGGCTCGCAAACTCCCTACCACGCCAGACTCGAAATCCACATCTACCTCAAAGCTTTCGGGCTCAGGATGTGTAAGCGTAATGTGGGACCTTAATAATTAGAATAGGGTTTTGGGGCTCATTATACTATAGTAAGGAAACCCCAACATAGTATAGGTAATTATCAAGGCCCCTATAGCAAGTGAACCGGAACAAATACTGAACCCAGACCTCTGAATCAGAACCCTGAAAAGGTAAACCCCTCTGTAGCATATGCTATAACCATGAATCCCATTAGCCCACAAGCCTTGCCTAAGGCCGCAAACCAACTAAGCAGTGCCACTTGGCGCCCCTAGACGCAAAGCCATGAAAACCCAACACGAAGCTTTACGTGCCTGTCCCTGAACCCTTCCGACATGCAGGTGCCTTCGTACGACTGTTTGGCTGGATTCCACTAGTCCCTAAACTCTAAACCCTAAACCGTCAGCGACGATCGGGGACATTTATGGCTCTTTTTCTGAGCGCAGCGCCCAGCGATGACGCCCTGCAACATGAAAGCACTGCTGCATCGCGAGCCTGGAAGGTGGGAAGTTAGGATGAGGGCCTTAATAATTAGAGCAGGGTTCTGAGGTCCTTTCTACTATAGCTATGATAAGGAACCCTCAAAAAGGTAATTATTCAGGCCCCTGTATCAGAGAGTCTAGCTTCCGTCAAGTGTAGATGTAGAATTTACCAGAAAGCCAGAAGAAAAATTGACCCCCACGTAGTGGGCGTTTCGAGTATGTATTTTTTTTGTGTTGTCGTTCGGCATCTTTTGCCTTCATATAGCTGTAATATAGCTGTTCCTCAACCATGGCCTACACTCTTGCGATAACCCTTTCAACCCTAAACCCAGAACCCTACACCCTAAACCGTGAAACACCTCGGAGAACTGCCAGCCGGCCTCCAGAACTCATGTCTTGGTGGGGATGCCTGGGCACTCCGAGGAAACCGCTCCTACAGCTTCCATGCTGCATAGTTGGGTTCAGTGGGTTTTTGTGTTGAGAACTTAAAGTGCTAAACTCGAGCACATAACCTGAGGCTACAAATATCATGCAACAAATTTACTGACTTGGTGCTCGTTTTTGCATGTACTCCGAACCCGATACTCGTACATCATCCTCCAGTCCCTGACTTAGTTGCTGAGTTCATAAGCCCCAAAAAGTGTAGACTTCTAGTTTTATAGTGGGTGATACTATCCCAAAAAGTGTAAAGTGTATCCACTCAGCTACTAGGCTGAAGCCCTCGGCCCGAGGATCACACAGTTTAGGCTTAAGTAAACACTCATTGAGAGGTCTAGGGTTGAGGGCTATGCAACACGGCGCGTTAATTGCGGTACCCCGAGCTCATCCATCTTCTTCGGAGCTCCATGTGAGCACACCAAGGCCTTGACTCTGCAGATACATGGTGTGAAACAAACGCTCGAGTATTCACGGCTTAGCGAAGCCTTTCGGGAGTGGTTGGGCATCGCTCGCCCTGGGTTTACGCTCTCACAACTCGGACCAGCCAGGCGAGGTTCTTAGGTGCAGAGTCGGTGTGAAATGGGACTGATTGGATTCTCACTTGTGCCCTGGGTTTAGTGTTTAGGGTCTTCTAGAGCTCGGGCGCTTTCGGGCTTAGGCGTGGGGACCACACAAGAGGAAAGGTTGATTCCATGGCCGTCTCGTGATGCTAGGGGCTACAGATACCGGGTTGTTTCGAAGCGATTTAGAATCGAAGGCTACCATACCCACGATCTGTTGGGCAAACAAACTGAGAACAGAGGCACATAATAATCTCATCACTTATCACCTAAACCCTAAAACCCTAAACCCTGTAAACCCAAAAGCCCTAAACTCTAAAACCCTAAAGCACTATAAACCCTAAAGCCCTAAACCCTAAGACCATATAAACCCTCAACCCTAAAGCCCTACAGCCCTAAGCCCTAGACCTGAAGCCTTAAACCCTATAAACCCTAGAAGCCCTTAAACCCTATATATAAACCCTTGAAGCCCTTAAACCCTATAAACCCTAGAAGCCCTTAAACCCCATAAACCCTAGAAGCCCTTAAACCCTATAAACCCTAGAAGCCCTAGCAACCCTCAGCAAGTCGGTTCCTTGCAAGAGCCCAGCATGAGGGCAGGGCCATGAGAGCGTTCTCCACTTCCAGGCCAGGGTCCTCCCCGACGGTTCCATTTGGGCGTTTCCGAAATAACAGGACCCTAGAGTGATCCTTTAATTTCTATACTGAACTTAGAACCCTAGCAAGAATTATATAGTTTTAGCTGTTTCTTAGGGATTATAATAAAAAAATTAAATTCATTGCTAAGTACCCCTACGATTTGGGCGTTTCCGAAATAAGGGGACCCTAGGGGGATCCTTTAAGGGATCTACAAGGGTTCTATAAACGGTTTAGGGTTGGGAGTTTCCGAAAATGGGGGGGGGACCCTAATATAGTACCCTAAATAGTAGGGTCCTTCGACGATTCCATACTTCGGGTCCGTGTTGCGAAAGGTTTAGGGTTTGGGGGCTTAAGAATTTTTAATAAGGTTTTGGGGCCCATTAGACTATATAGTATAGGTAATTATTTAGGCCCCTATATTCGGGCCTTTTGGGGTTTTATAGGGGTTTAGAAGTTCATGGTTTCCACTCGCGCAATCGCAGGGAGGCAGGCCCTCAGGATTGCTAGGGTGACATGCGACAGACATGAGGTAACCGTTTTTCTCAATCTCGCATGGCAGGAAACAATGTCCACAAGAGAGGACAGTCAAAGGCAGATCGATAACATGCCAAAGAACCCTTCCGGTTCGGATTGGTAACCGGTTTTTTTCTTAGGGTTTGGCGTGTAGGGGCCAGTGCATGAGTCAAGATACAAGCAAGAGGATTGAGGGTATAGGGTCCAGAAACGGGCTTCATTGGCAGAACTGCCTGCGTGATGGTATCGCATGTTTCCAATACTTGTGATGCTTCCAATAACTTTGAACTCGATTTGAAGCACCTCTTTTGAGCCCCTGCGTACATTGAAATCCTGAAACTCTCGGGGCCTGTGAAGCCTAGAACCTTGAAGCCCTGACCCAGAGCCCTAAACCCTAAAGCCATGAATCCTCCCGAATCCCTCCAAGCTCTAGAACCCTGAACGCTGGAGTGCTACAGGGGCCTTCATACTTCTGATGCAACTGGGGTTTCTCTCAAAATCGCAGTATTCACATCTGTGGCCACAAAGGGGATACTGTTCTTACCGCGCAGACGCCCACATTCGAACCCCCAATCTCAACCCGAACCCTAGCCGCTCGGAAAGCCTTCGACCGGCACTCAACCAAGCTCACGAGATCTGCAGGGAGCCTGCGGCCGCCAGAGCTGGTCCCTAAACCAGAAGCTAAATACAGGGGCCTTAACAATTAGAATAGGGTTTGGAGGTGTATTATGCTACAAATATAAGAAGGAACCCCCACAATAGTATAGCTAATAATTAAGGCCTCTCTATAAAGCACCCTAAACCCTAAACCATGAGCTAAAACACCCTTTTTGCAACGGGAACTAGCCAAATCCTTGCATCACGGCCTTTCGTCTTCACCCGACTCTGCGCAGGTGCGTTACTCAACTAAACTTCCCTAAACCCTAAATCCTTAGCACCCTAAGCCCTAAACCCTAAGCACCCTTAATCCTAAATCCTAAGCACCCAAAACTCTAAACCCTACACTAAAGCAGCCTTCGTGCAGGCTGGTACATGACGCAGTTCGAGGCTTCAGTTCAAATAGCCCAAACCCTACAGACTGCCTATCCCTAAGGCTCGATGTGCCCACATAGTATATACTTAGGCCTCCAAGAACCTATATAGGGACCCCTTTGAGACTTAAGTATCTACTACAAACAAAGGTACATGGAGCCTTTGAGTATAGCAGATGGAAGTCTACTGACCCTAGAAGTGGTTGCCCCCCTGGCATAACACCGGATGCACTCTGAGGGTGCCCCCGAAAGCTCTGATTATTTGTGGGCATCGCTGTTGAGGGGCGGCTGATGTCGACCGAACACAATTCTGCCAGGCAGCTCCGCGTAGAAGTTGGTCCGCACCTGTCCGCCACTTGGTTTAGGAAAGTTTGGGGTTTCAACTTTGACACTGCATCCCCCTCCGAATCCTTGAGTTACATGATGCGACCATCATGGCAACTAGCTTAGACTTTCGATTGCGATGCAGTGACCCGGTAGAAAACTCCAAAAACTATCAACTCGATTCTTAGAGTTCGGAGTTGACAAGCCATGAACCGGTTCTGTCAGCAAGTTTACAAGCAAAAAACAGATGCATCGCAATTTAAGCCACCATGACCCTGACCATCACCGGCATAAGCATTAAGATCACCTTCGACGAGCCATCCACCGACCTCTGCCCGCCGCACAGCAGTCAAGGACACCGACGATGCCCTGACGCTGCCTGCAGTGGGCTCCTGCAGCACAGCAGCCCCCAATCCGTGCGCCTGCCGTTCATTTTGCCATAGAGAACCGCGACGGCGGTCTCGAAGCGAGCGATTTGCTCGAAATTCGAAACTCTGAACTCTAAGTAGCTCGGTGCTCTGAACCGAGGCCAGGAGAGGATTCCCCAGAAGAGCGCTGAGTGAGGGCACGTCAGCACTCTTCTGGGGAGTCCTTCGCCGATCTCGGCTAAGAGTTCTGACGGACACAATGACCCATAAAAGTAGGGGCCCTATACCGATACACTATGAATCCCTATATGGTATATGAACCTTGAACCCTTTTAGGGTTCATTTCGCCCTTAAGGTTCTGAAGAGGCAGGCCACGGAATCACGCCAACAAAAGGGGTCCGAGGACCTCCGATGGGTTCTCGAAGCTACACTGTATCGCAACGTCAGGGCGCCAGATGTCCGAAGCTCAAAATGCGAAAACTGAAATCCAAACCCCGACATCTGAAAGACAGACTCAGGAATCTGAAGGCCAAAGTCTGAGAAAGCACTAGGTGCCCTAAACACCACGCACCTTCCAGTAACCCTCAAAGTTGTAAGCGAAGGGTTGAAAGGTAGCACCGATTTAGCACACTCGCAAGGTAAGCTCTGCTGCCACAACCACGACGACCACGACAATCCTCGTTTTGGCCATCATGCACGCGAAAATGCACTCGTGGCGATCATGAACCTGTGACGAATGACAGCATGATCATATATATATATATATATATGCATATATATATATATATATGTATATATATATATATACATATATATATATATACATATATATATATATATATATATATATATATATATATATATATATATATATGTATATATATATATATATGTGTATATATATATATATATATATATATATATGTGTGTGTGTGTGTGTGTGTGTGTGTGCATGATGCTGTGGGGTTACGGCGGATTCGGGCTCCCCAGCCCCCTTCCCAAGCTCGTGGCCTCGTAGTCGAGGTCTGCATAGATGCCTCCTTGCTGGTACAGGGCGCAATATCGGCCGATGTCTGATCCTGGCAACAAAATTCGCAAGGATTTGACGCTCACACAGGTCTCGCCGCATCCTGTCTGTCTATAATCATAAAGCTCTGCATGGAGTTTGGCCCACGAAGCATCTCGAAAAACCTGGGAGTCGTTGGTTCTGAAGACATGCTATCCATTGCAGTGCGAAGCGTATCCCAAGCCCCTTTTGGAACGAGATCTGTCTGAAGTACGGTTGATGATATAAATCCTGCATTACCCATAATAAGGAATATACCATGATTCCCACACTTTAGGGTCCCTAAGGTAATGCAGGATTTATATGATCAACAGTACCTCCCATCTGAAAGCCCAAACAGGTCATCTTACGCCGGAAGGGACTTGGAAGGTCTGGCTGTGCTCTCGTCATCATCCAAGCCTTCTGTATGACAAGCTACTGCCAAAACTCATGAATTTTACAAGGGGGTCCTCGTTCCTTACCTTGGTTAGTAGGGAATGGAAGCATGGTAATAATAGTAGTTATAATTGTACCCCATTCCTCCATTCCCTACTAACCAAAGGTAAGGTTCCGAAGAACAAAAACAGCACACACACACACAAGCAGCTTTCACTCTATGCCCGCTTTGTGTCAGACACTCCACCCGACCCTACCTACAGTCTCCATTGTAGTTCCTTTTTTTGGTTTAACCAATTCTGTATTAGGGATCCTAAAAGGTAACCCCAAAAAGGAACTACAATGGAGACTATAGGTAAACTCCATGTGACCCAGCTTCAGGAACCTTCACGAAGGATTTCAGGCTGAAGCCGCAAGGCTACTAGGGCCTGTTGAGCCCGAAGCACCACATACTATAGGGGCCTGAATCCTTTGAATGAGTAGGGTTTTGTGGTGTGTGTATATATATATATAGGATAATTAGTTAGTAGTGAGGAGTTGTATGAGTAGTATTGTCTATTTATTTCGGTACCATATTACCGTGAAAGCCGCTGCTTGGCCCCTCCGACTGTAGACTCCGGAATCTGCACGGCTGCGCCCACTCATCTTGGGCCTAGTCATGGTGTGTAGTACAAGGGCCTTAATGCTTTGCTGTGGCTACCGAGGGACACTACTACAAACTACTGGCATTTTGGCGCAGCCTGTATTTCTACGTAAGGGACAGAAAGAAGCAAGCCCAACTAGCTTTTTTGCATCCAGCCTTGCCGACGCCTCTGCTGGCAAGCACAGTCTCAAGCTCCGCTTTCAAGAGACTTGAACCCTAAAGCCCTGCAAACCCTGAAGCCCTCAACAATAAAGCCTACAGGCCCAACTGCAAAACTGGAAGACACAAATGCGGGCTTCAGGCTCACCCAGAGGCCCCATAGTAGTTCCTTTCTGGCGTTCATATATATATATATATATATATATAGAATCCTATAAGGTAATCCCAAAAAGGAGCTACTATGGGGCCTCTGCACCTCTGATGAAGTCTTGACGGCATGACTCTCGATGCCCCCGGGTAGCGCCAGAAATCCGTCGAGGAACTCTGGAAACTCCTGTAGGGTTGAGGCTTCAAGACTTTTTAAGGTCAAGGGGAAAAAGGAGGGACCCTTAATGGGGACCCCTACCCTTTAATGGGCTATATAATGGGTATATAATGGCTATATTCAGGGTGGATAAGGGCGGTCTTAGAAGTGCGGATCTATAATTGGGAGAAGGGTTCCTGCTGCCTTTCGGCTTTAGGGTTTAGGGCTTTGGCTTCTGTTCTTCCTGCAAACGCTGCCTTAACAAGTCTGGGTCCAAAACCATTACAAGGACTCCTAGAACCAGGACCCGATCTTCGGATCCCCCATTCCCTAAACCCTAATATAGTCCACCTTCGGATCCCTGTTCTATGAAAGCCACCATCTTTGGAGGAAAGCTTCAGGCTCTAGTTATTGAGGGCTTTCACGGTTGGGATTCGGCGGGGCGTTTAGTTTTGGGCTTTGGACCCTGGGTTTTGGGTGCCAGGGTTGTTTTGCCGCCTCCTGCATTGCTGAGCGAATCGCTACTGTAGGCAGGGTTCGAAGGCAAATTCCAGTAAATTTCGCACATTCATGACATTTCCTGGGTGTCTTGCCTTCTGAATACATCCCAATCTTGACGCCACAGGACAACTAAAATTTCACAGACTCACTACTTCAATCAATCTTGTTCCATGGCAAACACGATATGAGCTCAGCATCATCTCCAAATACGAATTTGTCATCAAATTGGTAGGCTTCCAAATTAACGTCACCAAGCGCAGCACTTTCAGAACCAGTCAGTTGCAAAGCACCTCACTGGTCAGTATGGCAGCCTACAAACGAAGTTTGTGGGCAATTCTTAGCTTATAATGCGCAGGGTTGGTTATCGACTTAATTTTCGAGTCTGGCACCACGACGGGCGCTGCCTTATATGGTAACAAGGAGCAAGCACGGCATGGACGAGAGGCACTGTACAGGGTGTAGGGTGCAGTTTTGGGGGTTGAGGCTTCTACTTTTAGGACGTCTAGCTCATGGCTTACGGTCTTCAGAGTTTGGGTCTTCGCCGTTGAGGCCTTAACCTCAAACTTTAAGCCCGATGCCCTGCGCCGTTTGAGGGCACTTTTTCAGCAGCGGCTTGGATTGTGTGCCAGCAAATGCAACTCGACGGCATGGCCTTCTCGTTTAACCAGGGATGCAAATGTCGGAGTGACAGAAACACAAAAACGAAGCAAGCATCGACGATCTTCTGAAGTACATATTTTGCTACGGGTCGAGCTGAATACCCCGGAGAGCTTGAAAAAGAAAAGTGGAGGCCAGAAGCGCCAATGAAGCCACCACGGCAGCCGGCAGCGCATCCGATTGTGGCAACCTTTGTGCAAGCACGGGGCGCACATCCTCCAGCTCCAACCTAGGTGAGGCTTTTAAAGCCTTTGAAAAATATTAGTAAATAAGATCCTCTGAAACCCAATAAGGGGAAATATAAAGTGTCCCAAAGCCCTACCTAGCAACAGTTCGGCGACTTCTTGCTGAACACGTTCCAACTCTTTGTCCTGAGGGTTCCTCCCGGTCCAATCTGACACCAGGAGGCCATTCCTTAGTTGCTGAGTTCATAAGCCCCCCAAAATAGTGTACACTTTTAGTTAAATAGTGGGTGATGCTACCCCAAAAAGTGTAAACTATACTGAACTTAGAACCCTAGCAAAAACTACAATTTTGGCTGGTTCTTAAAAGTGTAAAGTGTATCCACTCAGCTACTAAGGTTCTCAGGCTGGAGCCAAAAGGACCTCTTTGAGTTGTCGACCAGCACCACCCGGGAGAGATCGCGACCAAGCTTAGTCAAGTCCTGGACTGCACCTATAGTCTCCATTGTAGTTCCTTTTTTTGGTTTAACCAAGCCTATATTAGGGATCCTAAAAGGTAACCCCAAAAAGGAACTACAATGGATACTATAGGTATGGTTGCTTGGTAGGGAATGGGGGGGAATGGCTTATTGGGACTACTAGAGGGGACCTTCAGGGACTATCATAGGGGACCTTAAGGGACTATCATAGGGGACCTTAAGGGACTATCATAGGGGACCTTAAGGGACTATCATAGGGGACCTTAAGGGACTGTCATGGGGGACCTCAAGGGACTATCATAGGGGACCTTAAGGGACTATCATAGGGGACCTTAAGGGACTATCATAGGGGACCTTAAGGGACTATCATAGGGGACCTTACGGGACTATCATAGGGGACCTTAAGGGACTATCATAGGGATCCATTCCCCCACTCCCTACTAAGAACCAGACAGTCAAGTCCTTGGTCACCGGCAAACCCAAGGGCACGCAGGCGTCGCGGAAGAGCGCAGGGAAGCCACCGAGGCCCAGCTTCTCCACGCTCTGTGTTGCATAGGCCTCTCAAAGGATAAAAGGAGGGACCCCTAATGAGGACCCTATAGGTATATACCCATAATATAGCCATTATATACGCATTATATAGCCCATTATTATAAGGTAGGGGTCCCCATTGAGGGTCCCTCGTGTTCCCCTTTGAGCCTCCGTGCCGGCAGTGTACACCGCTATCTCAATGTCGGGCTTGCTCTTCAGCCAGCTGATGAACTTCTGTGCTCCCGGCCGCAAAGAGACCTATACTGAACTTAGAACCCTAGCAAAAATTTTAATTTTAGCTGTTTCTTAGGGATTATAAAAACCAAAAAAATAAAAATATTTCTAAGTACCCCTAAGAGACAAACAAGGGCAGCTCCTCTCCCAATCCGAGAACCAAACCTTTGCCAGCTGCCTGGAAGTCGACTTCTGGCTGCCAAAGTCGGGACGGGAGCCAGCTCAGAGCTTCCTCTGTTCTTGTTAAGCGATTTAATTTAAGGTGCCAAACTAAGCAAACCATATTATTTGCTATAGGTCCCTAGTATGGTGCCTTTTTGCAACTGGCCTGCTGCGACTCCGCCAGGACGAATACCCACCATCACTAAGCAAACCACATTACTTGCTATAAGTCCAAGTTTGGTGCCTTAAATTGTCAAATTCTTAACAAGAACCCAGCTTCAGTCGGAATGTCCCCAAAGGCTCTGCTGTCGCAGAGCGAGGCATGTAGGAGCGTCTCATCCAGATCAAGAATGACAAGGAGGCGCCTAGCTTGGCCCCTGAAAGCGTCTAAACAAATTTCATAAATAGGGTCCTATTAAAGCCCCAATAAGGGGAAACATAAAACGTCCCAAAGGCCTACCTAGGCGCGGTTTTGGCGCCAGGAAGAAAGCCCGGGGCACGGAGACCAAGATGAGGGCGCCGGCCAGAGCTTGCAACTTGAAGCGTCTTGACTTGAGCATAGCTTTCGGTAGGAAGGGAGCCTAAACCATCCTAAACCCCAATCCAAGCTGTCGAAAGCTCTGCAGGAATTTCCCAGCAGTCCTGTCGCATGCACTCCTGGGATGGCAGTTCCCACAGACTCCACATCAGCTTGCTTAAGCAACATGCCTTTACGTATCAAGGCGGCCTGTCTTGATTTGTTGAAGTACAGTAGAAGCCAAAAAGCTGGAATAGCCTCAGTCCTTAAGAGTAATATATAAGGGATCCCGGCACCATTTGGCCTTAATCCGGCTTCCAACTTTATAGGGTTTACTGTACATTCCCGATTTCAGTTTTGTTTTTCAATCTCAAGTTGCGACAAGGAGAGAGGACGATATCCCTGGGATTTTGCAGTTTAGCCTCCGGGCCAAATTCATGCTTGTCTGTTGTTGAGCTGCAGCTTGTAGTCTCTAGGGTTCAGGACTAATAAAGGGGCTGTTGGAATAGAGACAGGGATGGATGCAAATGGAAAAAACAAAGGAGCGAGGCAGAAAGCGAGATGAAGAGAGGGAAAGACTGAAAATAGTGAGCCTCTACCGAGCTCCTTATTCAGATGAAAGAGATATACACAACAACATTTCTTGGACTAGCCCAGCGCCAAAATCGGAGGCAAATGGTCTTAGCCTCATGGATTTAAGACAGCTTTCTCAACTCCAACTGCAACTTCGAAAAACTCAGGACCCCAAACTCAAGGTCACGTAGTTCCGAAACCACCCTGACGGAACCTAAACCCCACATCCTAAGCCCTAACACAGTGTACAACCCGAAAGGATATCCACAAAGTCTTAAGGTGTAAAAACCTCAACCAGGCGCATTCAGAACTTGTCCCTGCACCCCACCCCCCAGGAATAGCTGCGTAACTCACTATGCTTCTGTAAGCTAGCTACAGTGAAGCGCGACCTACTTCGATTGAACCGGACCCGAAACCCTTGTCCTGAACTAATTAGGGTTTCGTGTTGGGATTTCAGTCCTGGAAACCTTGTCAGGCCCGTAACCGGAAAAAAAAAGTAAGAGGTTCATGGGACTTAGCAACTGTGGCGATAACAAACCCCCAATTTCTCATAACTTCTAACCTCAATTATGCTTTTTCCCTCCTACCTTGCAAGGACGAAGCCCGCAATTATGGTTTAGGGTTTCGGCGCTCACACTCGGACAATCCAGGCGAGGCATATGGTTCGGAGTCTGACGAGTGAGACGAGACGAAGTAGTTGGTGTTTAGGGTTTGGGATTCAAGATCCCTAAAGCAGGGTACAAGTTGCGGTCAAGGAGCGGTCAGGTTCTGGTCTCGCCATACCTCCCCGCAAGATACCGAAGCCTTTGACCCTACCTAAAGTCTCCATTGTAGTTCCTTTTTTGGGTTTAACCAAACATATATTAAGCTTGGATCCTATAAGGTAACCCCAATAAGGAACTGCAATGGAGACTATAGGTAAGTTCGGATATCTGAAAACTACGCATACAGCCTCAACCCGAAACCCTGATACTTCAAACTGCTAAGCCCGGAATCCTGCTTGAATGGTCCTTCCGCCCCTCCAGCCGCTAAACCCTCGATAGAATGACTTTGGTGGTGTGCCGTTTCCCAGCAGGTCCAGCTGCCCAAGTAGGTCCACAGCTGGGTTTAGGGCAGAACATGAGGCTAAGTGCTTAGGAAAGCGAATGCTGTTTTTCGAGATGCGGCACCGTTTGCATCTGACCCCGGTCGATACTGACAGACCTGACAATGAGAAGAACGGCTCTCATTTGTAATGGACGTTGTGCATCTTGGGTAATGAGGAGGATTACGAACGGATATAAGGACAGAAAGCAGGAAAACAGCTGCTCATCTAAGTAATGGTATTCGATTAGTATTTACGTGTCTCTGTTAAGTGGCCTTTGCCTGGCGGGATTGGGGTTTAGTGCTATTAATAGTTAAGAATTTATAAGGGCTTTAGGGCTTCGAGTGACACCACCCCAAAATTTACTCAAACTACAAGAAAAAAGAACCCTGATCTCGAAACCTCGGTTGCAAATTCCCGCATGGCCCAAGTGCATTTTGCACGATGCTTGCTTGTGTGCTTCCCCACTGTCCACTATAGGGGTCAGCACTAGATAAAGCCATCTTAACTATATGAATGACTTGCCACTCTGCCTCAGGAACCTCCGCCTAAACCCTAAACCCCAAACCGAAGCCAGTGGAAACCAGGCTGAAGCGTCCCACCCTGTGGGTGTAGCCGCCGTAGACCGGAAAGTGACGCTGCCAGCTGCGCAATGCAACTTCCTCAAGGGATGAGAGGTGTTGACCTAAACTTGAACCCTTCCTGTAGTCTCTATGGTAATTCTTTGTTTGGTTTAACCAACTATATATTAACGATCCAATAAGGTAACTCCCAAAAGGAACTACAATGGAGACTATAGGTAAACCCCGAGCCCTCTCTTGGCTTCAGGGGCTTCAAACAGCACTTCCACCTTCGATTTCTGGAGACAGCTTTGCTTTCCTCCTGGGATTCTATTCATCTCAGCACTTCATACTCTCCTACTTCCCGAAACCCCAACCCCTAAACCCTGAAACCCTACAGCCTCGCAGCCTAACTATACCCTAAACTCTACACCCAAAGCTCGCAAGTTCACGGAGACCTCGCCTACAGATCTGATTCTGAGATTCAGAAAGGAAAATCATGGAGAGGCAAGTACCTTCCCTTCGAGGGTACATCATTGGTTAAAGATTTTTTTGTGCCCTAGGACCCTACTCCTTCTGCAGACTGCGTTGCTTCGTGGCCTCCTCCAAAAACTGTCCAAATATTATTTTACCTGCCATAGTATACACTGCGTTTCCTGCATGCTGTATTTCTTGCGGCTCGGCTTCAAGTTATCAGATCAAAAGCTCGCTTGCTAAAACGCAGTCGCGATGCAGACCTATGCTGTCAACATGCCAAAATGCATGAAAACAGACCCAGCTTTGCAATTTGGATGACATGTCCTCGACTTTGTGCAGTGTTACGCACTTTAAGCATTCGAATGAACCCCTCGCGGCTTACTGCATCTTTCTGAAATTGAGGTCGTGGCCCAAATCAGCACTGGAAACCTTAGCCAGGAGCATAAACCTTAAGCAAAAGTCTGAAAGCAGTTAAGGAGGGCCAGGAAACAACAAGATCCAAGGGCCCAGGAAAGTTTGAACTTGCATGGGTAGTTCGCCAAATTCCGGACCCTTTTACGGTCCTTTTACAAGGGTGCCGTACTGGTTTGGGGGCCTCCAAAAACGGACCCTAAGTTCGAGAACTGCACATGCTACTTGAGGTTTGAGGAACACGGAAGCCTAACGCCGCAACTTTGGGAAGCCGGTCATGTGCAGGATTTGCATGGGTTTACGGTAAATTGACGTTGAACCCTGAGCACTAAGCAACAACTCTACAGGACATGATGTAGGTATGCGTAGAAGTCTTGACCTGCAGTTGGGATGTATATACCGTGTAACAGTTTAAGTTCTACGTATTCAGCAACATGGAACGGACCCAGGATAATTCTGACGACGGTGAACATCATATTGCCAACCATTTCAGCCACCAGCCGCCAGTAGCAACGTCAAGCGCATATCCAGCATGCTCAGGCGCAAAGTCTGATCCTGCCGAAAACCAATCCTCAAACCCTGAACACAAGCTCTTTTCACCCAGATTTTATATTTTTGAACCTAAACTCCCTCAACCGGAAACTATAGCCTGAACCCAAACTCCGGATCCGTGGAGTCCCCATGTCTGACTCTATGGCTAGGAGGTGTTGAGGCTCAGGCATGACTCGATGACACTGAAACCAAAAAAATTCTACAAGCAGGGCCTGGATCTACATCGTACAACCTAGAGGGCTTCCACATTCAGAGTTGCAAAGACAGGGTCTCGGGCTTCGGGTTGCTTCATGCGCAGTTCGTGCAAGTATCTCGCCAGACAAATACTCCGGCTCATGTGGAGTTTTCACCGGGAGAGGCCAGCCCTAAACCGTAGATCTAGAACTACGCCCAACAGATCCGAACACCCCAACTCAGCCCCTGACGGTCCGACACCCAGCTTGCGAGGCTGCTCCGGACGAGTAAAGTGCCTGGAAAGCTCCGGTTCAATGCTATTTTATGAACATGTTTTGTCTGCATGCCTTGTATCTAGAGCAGCGGTTCGGGGCTTAGGGTGCCTAACGGTTTAAGCTGTCTGAGGGCTTTGGGCTTATGGTCTCGGGGTTAATGATGAAGGCTCTTATTGCGATCTATCTGAAGTGTTTGTATTCTTGGGTTGGAGGGAGCGGCCAAAGGACTTATACGATCAAAGGCTCCTCCTAAGTACCATGCTAGAAAAGGTCCTTGTTCGTAGACAAACATTAAGGACTGTTTAAGCCTTTAACTCTGAGCAGCCGGGCACGATCTTTGGCAAGGGTGCCGGCGTGCCCTTGGCAGCATGAGACGTCAAACGTCAAGCGATTCGGGGCTTAGGGGTGCTGTTTTGCAGGATGTGCCGGCATTCCTGTGTTTCTTTTGTCCGGTTTGGTGTTTCAATGTTCGCGTTTTGACCTTCAGCCCTAAAACCTTAACGCTCGTCGAAGCTTTGTGGGACAAGGTCACTGAGGTTTGCCATCTCTTGCCCAAAAAAAACTGGCTTCTTCTTCAGGAACTGCACTCAAGCCCCCAGAATCAGAAAACGATTTTGTTGTGTAAATCCCAAGCTACCATAACAAGGATCCACCATAATCAGAAACGATATGTTAGGTATAAATTCCAAGTTACCATAAGAAGGACCATGCGGGTTGCTCATTAATTCTTCCGGGGACTTCAACTGAATTCCCGTAAGCAAAAGCAGGAGACCTGAACTTTCTGGAGTTTGGCCTAGCTGCGGGTCATGTGAGTGCTCCCAGCCGCAAGCGTCAACATAGTTTAGGGTTTAAGGTTAGGGTTTAAGGGTTTATAAGGTGTAGGGGTCTAAGGCCTAAGGTTTCGATGCTCACACTCGCACAAGGCAAGCGCAGCTCTACGTAGTCCAAAGCATCCCCTCTGTCAGCCAGCTGTAGAGACACTTCAGGGATGTTCAGGAAACAGCATGAACATGTAAGCAAGGTGCAGTCATCCAGTTCCCCGACTGCAACAGCCTGACATCTGACTCGGGACATAGCCCACTGTTTCGAAGATGACTCGCAGGTCTGTTTCACTTATGCAGGCCCGACTGCAAACGGGGCGGCCCTTCGGTCTAGGAACTGGCACGGTGTCTCAGCTTTCTGACTTCCCACGCAAGCATGCCTACACAAATTCTTGGATTCAGCAGCCGATCTTCCAAGGAGCAAATTCCCAGCACCAGCTTCCACGTGATCTCACGAATTCAGTCTCCAATCCTTCCTCGGCCAGAGTCAGAATCTATCATCTTGAGCGGCTGCGCGATCGTGAACGGGTCCAGCTGCCGCTCTCGCTGGAACAATTTTCGCGAACCATCAATCGCACTGATCCGTCCGTCACCTTCTGGTAGGGGGGATGGTGCACACCTCCTTGGTGTGAACCACGCGGACCACCCAATAGTCTCCAACCTTCAGTCCAAGAACTGGCGGCTGACGTCAGGAGTCCGAGCTGCTGGCCTAGCTTCTCAACGGCCTCGTCTGTTACTGGAGCCATCAGGCGTGGTTCGATGCATTTCAATCAATTCCAGCCAGGAGTATAGGCGGTTGCGGGTGCCTATCGATCATGAAAATATTAGTACTCGGGCAGACCACGGATGACAAGGCGTCCACCCGTCACACCGTCCTTCTACAGCCTGCTGTCGTCTGTCCGGCCGATACTGCTTTGGAAAATGTCAGGGTTGCTTCCTGATCAGGGGGCATGCTCAATGCTCCCGCAGCATGTTGCAGCTTGGCAAGGTCCACTGCGAGAAGCATCATGTCCTGGACTGTAGCGGCCAGCCCCTCGGCCGTGCAGTTTTTTGCTGGCCACCTGGACAGACTCAGTGGCCCACTTGGCGACGGTAGCGAGGGCTGGGATGCGAAGACTGGATCGGGCGTGCTTGACGCGGCAAAGACTTGAGCCAAAATGGCTACGGAGGGTTTAGGGTTTAGGGGTCGGGGAGCCTAAGGAAGTAGCCAGCTTCAGGCGAACTCCCTTGCACTCAGGCCGTTGATAGATCCAGATACAGATTACGGCGTAACATATATATATATATATATACATACGTGTATGTATATAATATATATATATATATATATATATATATATGTGTGTGTGTGTAACATAAGTATATATATATATATATATATATGGTCACCCCCCCCAAGATCCACACCCGCCTCTTCCATGCTATTCCACAGCTTGCTTCTCTACATTGATCCACTACTCACACAGGCAGAAAACACCGTAAATACCGATAAAATCGTGCGTTTCGTCATGTGCATCCAAGCCTTGTTGCTACAAGTCGCGGGTTTGATATCTGTAAAAATCTGGAGCCGAATCTCGGCCGGGGATTTATGGTAGTTTATGTGTTGGACAAGCTGAAATGCTGGAGGGCGTGCTAGTTTTGTTCATGTAATGCTAAAAAACCTCGTGTTTTTTGCATTTTATGGTGTGTTATTTAACAACATTCCTCTAATAATAAAAATACTATTGTCTCTCTTACGAAAACGTGTGCGTGCGTGGGCCATCTCTTTCCCGCTGCTCGTGAAGCGTCCGATTCTGATGCGACCTAATCGCTCTAGCGTTTGATTTATGAGTTACGAAATACAAAGAGCTCCTTTCATGTCCTGTCCATTTTATATCATTATACATGAAGGAAGTCGAATATACGGGCGCGTTTATTTTTGAAGCAATACTCCAATAGTTGTTCTTTGCCTCATAAGAAATGGGAAAGCCCCCCTGGAGTTGAAAGGTTCATGTGCATATGCGGGCGCACAAGAAGGCTCGTCTGCAGCAAAAAGTAAGAGAGCTCTTGCAACGTTCCAAACATGAAGCAGGGCTGTTCATACTTATCAAACAAGAGTAATGAAAACCGCTGCTGTTCCAGAAGGCAAATAAAACATTACTTCCAGTCCTTGACAACGGTTGAAAGCACCCAATTACCCAGTCCTGGACATCAGAAAACACTGTAATGCTAAAAAAATTCCAAAATTTCCAACCCTGAAACTCACAAAACACTGTAATGCTCAAAAAATTCCAAAAATTCCAAAAATTCCAAAATTCTGGCATCTATGGCCAGGCCGGGGGCAGATTCCTTAAAAGTTTGGAATTTTTTGAGCATAGCAGTGTTTCGTGCGTTTCAAGGCTTGGAAAAATGGATTTTTTTTGAGCATTACAGTGTTTTGTGAGTTTTAGAGCACGAAACACTGCTATGCTCAAAAAAAGTGGGCTTTGAGGCTGTGAAAAGTTGGTTTTTTTTGAGCATTACAGTGTTTTGTGAGTTTTGGACAACGAAACACTGCTATGTTCAAAAAAAGTGAGCCTTGAGGCTGTGAAAAGCGGATTTTTTTTGAGCATTACAGTGGTTTGTAAGTTTTAAACCACGAAACACTGCTATGCTCGAATAATTCCAAAATTTCCAACCCTGAAACACGAAACACTGTAATGCTCAAAAAAATCCAAAAATTCCAAAATCCTGGCATCTATGGCCAGGCCGGTGACAGATTCCTTAAAAATTTGGAATTTTTTGAGCATAGCAGTGTTTCGTGCGTTTCAAGGCTTGAAAAAGTTGATTTTTTTTGAGCATTACAGTGTTTCGTGGCTTGAAACTCACAAAACACTGTAATGCTCAAAAAAAATCAACTTTTCACAGCCTCAAGGCTCACTTTTTTTGAGCATAGCAGTGTTTCGTGCTCTAAAACTCACAAAACACTGTAATGCTCAAAAAAAATCCATTTTTCCAAGCCTTGAAACGCACGAAACACTGCTATGCTCAAAAAATTCTAAACTTTTAAGGAATCTGCCCCCGGCCTGGCCATGGATGCCAGATTTTTGGAATTTTTGGAATTTTTGGAATTTTTTGAGCATTACAGTGTTTTGTGAGTTTCAGGGTTGGAAATTTTGGAATTTTTTGAGCATAGCAGTGTTTCGTGGTTTGAAACTCACAAAACAGTGTATTGCTCAAAAAAAATACACTTTTTACAGCCGCCAAGCTCACGAAACACTGCTATGCTCAAAAAATTCCAAACTTTTAAGGAATTTGCCCCCGTCCTGGCCATAGATGCCAGAATTTTGGAATTTTTGGATTTTTTTGAGCATTGCAGTGTTTCGTGAGTTCTGGGGTTGGAAAGTTTGGAATTTTTTGAGCATAGCAGTGTTTCGTGCGCCCCATGCCCTAAGAACCACGATGGCGTGGATCTTGGGGGGGGCGAGCTTATATATATATATGTACATACATACATACATACATATATATAGATACACATACACATAGCACCGCAAACCTCATACTCTAAACCTCACACTCTACATTCCATGAGCCCCCTGGCCCGAAAGACAGTAGACTACAGGGAGAAACCTGATAGAAACCCTATAATAACCCTTCCAGTACACCCCTCTTGTAGCCCTTAGCCAACCCTGAACCCAACCGACAGGCACGCCGTCTTAAGCCTAAACCCTGGGCCCTAAACCTCAATCCGCACCCAAAGCCCTACGTACGCCTTAAATCCCAAGCCCTAAGCCTCTGTTTTGAAACCACAAAGACACCCTGTGAGCAGCTTTTCAACTCGCCTTGATATAATGCCTTGTAGAAATCCTTGAGTAATCCAAAGCAACCCGTGTAGAAACGCAAGTCGGAAGCCCGTACTAACTCTTGCAGCAAGCCTGCAAGTTATGGATCTACCAGTATTTGTTTGGAAACCTCGCAGAAACCATCAGAATCTAAAGCTACAGCTTGTCAGTCGCCCATAGAGTAACCGTTGTACAAAGCCCTTGTAAGCTGCCTTGTGGCTGTTCTAGTAACCTCATGGTAACAATTGTTCAGGAAGAAGCTCTTGCTTCTTCACTCCATCAACCTCTTAAGCCGCAGAGGAAAGATGAGCTCCCGACCGATATCACCATGGAGGTTCATTGCTGTACAATCCCAGGCGTTCCGGAGCTTCAGCGTCTAGGGTTTACTGTAGGGTAGTAATGCTCAAGTTTTTGTGCTTAAGGTTTATAAGTTATAAGGGCTTGAGGAATTTCAGGATAATTACTTCATATTTCTTAAGGCTCACGGCGTGAACGCGCTAGTGATACCAAAGGAAGCCGACATCTGCCAACACGTGAATGCCAGCTCCAGCAGCCAAACCGTTCATTCCCCAAGCGCCAAACCGTAACACCAAAGGCTCCGTGCACCTGCACAGGATATATTTGGGCCTTGAAGTACCCATATTGGCGGTTGTCATATTTTTTTGGGGTCCCTAACATAATACGGAACCTAATATAGGGTACCTAAAATACCTGTGTGTCTAATCACCGCGTGACGGCCACTCCCTGGCGATGTAACTTGGAGATCTGTTTGGCGAGCTTTCTGCCTTGGTAGTGTTCTCCAAAGTTCCATGTACCTTTGTAGTATATACCGGGGGGGTAAAGGGGACCTATGTGACTATATGGGTAGTTGTCAAAATCAGAGAACGTTACACTGGAGATCAGGGGTTTTTGGAGACCCCCCAAAACACAAACATCAAGCCTCTACTACAACGTTAAGTCCTCTGGGCGAATGGGTACGTACAAGGTCCTAATCCTAAACCCTCTATAAACCCTAACCCTTCAACCCTAAAATATCCGAAACCCTCCCCTAAAACAGTAAGCCCGCAAACCCATGAACCCTATGAGCCCCAGACCCTGAATCTCTCCCCAAACCTAAAACCGTAAACCCTCAAACCAGTTTTGATTATCCCCGTGCTTCTGCCGGGTGGGGTGGGGACTCTCGTAGATAGAACGGCGCGGGACGGTGTTAAATGACAACGATAACCAGGAAAACAGGTCTTTCCTAGTATATACCAACGTTACGCCACTTCGTCATTCCCTTAATTTCCCCACCTTGCGACGGGAGTGCGGGGGCCGGGGTGCGACCAATTATGCCGCCACTTTGCAGCTGTGGTTTCGGGTCCACCCTCCGCTGCAAAGAATCGACAGACAAAAGATGTGCAGCAATTTTTTCACACATCCAAGACTGGCTTTGGCAGGTGCGCGAACACGTTTTTTTCCTGCTGCAGTCTCAGCTGCGCCGCCTACGTCCCTTCCAGAGGTCTGTGCACTCCATGGCTCGAGTCTTCCGAGCGAAGAATACTCTGCCGCGTCACTCTTGCCGGACAGGCGGAATATGCAGAGGTCCTGGCCACTGAGAAGCAGTGTGGCGAAAGTCTGCTTTGAAGCTCATGAGGTCGCTGCGCCACGGAAAAGTGCGCCGGCGGTGATCACGAGGCCAAGCGCTGCAATCGGCGAGATCCTCCGCGGAAACGGGATGACCCTAAACCCTAAACCCTAAATCCTAAACCCTAAATCCATCCATGCACAAAGTGTGCTCGGTCCGAAGAAGCTCTCCGAGGCTACCTCGGTCTAAGCGCAGCTCGCGGGCAGAGCATGTGCAGGAGTAATTCCTTTTGGGGGGTTCATATTAAGAGTCCTATAAGGTAATCCCAAAAAGGAACTACTTTGGGGCCTATGTGCAGTGCCGAGTTTCCGATTCGTTCTGCACCGAGAGAGGTGAAGAAGGAGTCAGCTGCTGCATCGGAGGCATCAACCATGGCCTTGGAAACGCCTACTCACGTTTAGGGTTTAGGGCCTACTCTGACTCAGCCAACTTTCATGTTTTACCTTTGGCTCATATGGATCAGGAAGGAGATGCCACCAAGCGACCCATGCAGCGAATTGGCCCGGACCTAAGATGGAAAGAGGGCTGCAAGCTCGTCGAGTCTTTGCAGCGAACGAGCTGTTAAACTCAGGTGCAACTTAGTCGCCAGGCGCATCTTGCGGCAACCTGTGCTGCAATTCCTCCACCAGAGCTGTTCCCACACCTTTGCGGCGCTCCCCCGCGTTGACCTGGAAATGCATGGCGGGAAACGGCGATGGACGCTTCTCTAATGGACTATGGGACTGCCATCAAGACTGACATCCATGAACAGTCGAGCTGAAGTTGGCCCGAAGCCAAGCCGCCAGGACGGTGTTGACCACCTGTCGTGACTGCACGTGCCATGGAGGTTGTATAGAACCCCGTCATGAATCCCTTCTCCCTAAACTGGGTTATCGTTGCTCCTCGTCGTTTTACAAGGTACCGAGGATTATCGCTTGTGACAAGTATTGGGAAGATGCTTCGCTGGCTTGCAGCATCTTACAGCCCATCTACAAGTGCGTATCCCAAGATGTCCGCGACATGTGAACAACCCCTCAACTCGCTGGCTCGCACGGGTACCGCATGGCTCATGTCCTTCAACAGGCACCTCTGGCGAACAAAAGTTATCGTTGTATGCTATCGTTGTGTTATCGCTTTGGACAGCAACTCTTCAAGTTTCAATTTGCGGCGGTGTAGTCTGCACAAGAAAGTGCAGTCTCTCACACCTCACTTTGTATAAGTGCAGCCTCAAAAGCCTCCGCGAGCCTCAGGTTGCACAAGTGCAGGCTATAAAGCCACGGTTTGCACAAAGCAATAGCAGTACCAGTAGCAAGATCAGTAAGAGCAGTAGCAGTAGCAGCAAACCGTACGTAGTAGCAAATCGTAGTAGGCTATATAGTACTCATGTAACATACGTTCCAACGTTATGGTTCAGTTTGCTTCTCATCGTTTTACAGGCTAAACAACACGAGGGGCATCCTAGACTGATCTACAAGAACCTATACACAAACGCAAGCTGGCGCATGGTCTGCGTGTGCTGCCAGCCGAGCCGCAAAGTCGCATCTCAGTACGAAGAAGCCGCCCACGGCCAGACGGCCCAGCTGTGCACAGCCAATGATCTCCTTCAGCTCCCAGTGGTGTTGCCCACTCGGGTGCTTCTTGCAAGACCTGGGCCTAGCTGCCTGGCCAGCATCAGAACTGGCGTCCTTCCCAGCTTCTGCGATGACGTAGGATGCATAGCCTTGCCCAATCCTGATCTGCAATCTCGCAAGGCGCCGACCCTGCCTGCGAAAGTCACACGACAAGGACTCTCTGCGAATTCCTACCCTACCCCGAAACAGAGCAAGCTGCAGGGGTTGCAGGGCCACCATCAGCTCAGGGACGCCTCCTGTAGACAGATACAGTGAGTCCGTGCTCCGAACATTCCCTCACTTGCAGGCTAGGCACCAACTTCTCGCTGAAGTCGATAGACGGCCCCCATGTCTTCAGTGTCCTCTCTTGCACAACAGCTGCGCTTCTACTTGGTGGTGTTTGCTCTGAGTACTGCCCCCAGCGAATCGCAGCGAGACCTTGCCCGGCTTCAGAAGGCGTACCTTCGCGCAGAATGCTGATGAAAGCTGCGCTCGTCAAGAAAATCCGTCCACAGCCGGAAGGCAAGCGAAACCATGCAATTTCAGCCAAGAGTTGTGGAGAGCGTCCTTGTGCTCTGGCAGCGCAGCGGCACGAATTCGAGCACCTGCCCAAGGCACTACCAGTAACTAGTGGAGTTTTGGGAGTTTCCGAAAATGGGGGACCCTAATCTAGCACCCTAAAGAGCAGGATCCTTCTTAATGACAAGGGCCCCAAAAGAAGGTAGATCCCTTCTAGGGAACCTTATAAAGGAATCCCTATATAATATAGCCTATATAGCCTCTATATAATATATATATATATATATATATATATATATATATATTATTATGTATATCTATATATATATATATGTAAATGTATATATATATATATATATATATATATATATAGATAGATAGATAGATATATCCTTTTTTGAGCCGGTAAAGTTCACAGCGTCACCGAAAGCGCCTTCAAGGCGAGGCCTCCAGGAGCTTCTCGAGACGAGGCTCCTGGGAGGCTCTCAGGTTCGGCCGTTTTGTAGGGCCTTACCCCGGTTTAGGGTTTTAGGGTTTAAGGCTTTAGGGGTTTAGGGTTTAGGACCCCAAGGCCCCAGAGTAGTTCCTTTTGGGGGTTCACAATCTATAGAATCCTATAGGGAAATCCCAAAAAGGAACTACTATGGGGCCTATGGCTACGCCCCTCAAACTCTCCAAGGGTAAAAGGAGGGACCCTTAATAAGGACTCCTAGGTATATACCCTTAATTAATATGGCTATTATATGCCCATTATAAAGCCCATTACAGGGTAGGAGTCCCCATTAAGGGTCCCTCCTTCTTTGACCCATATAAACAGAGTGAGCCGAGACCGTATTGCATGATCAGGGAATTTCCGAAAATTCGGGGTACCTCATTTTGGGGTCCTAATTATAGGATCCTGCTACTTAGGGTGCGATATCAGGGTGCCCCATATTGGGAAACTCCCATATAGTAGAATGTAGGGCTTCTATAATAATATTAAAGTTTTTTATCGGGTTTAAAAAGGATTTTAAGGTTTGGGCTTTCTGGGTTTAGGGTAATGGCCCAAAGGGTCCAATAGCTAGGTAAATATGTAGGTTTGTTACTGCTCGGGAGAGTATATTCGGGTTCTGCTTGGAGTAAATAGGGGGCTAAACGGTTCCCAAAACTATTTTGATGGTTCCTTATTAAATTTTCAGCATAATGGGCACCAAAACCACATTCTGAATTCTAAGTATCAAGAATCCTAGATCATTATTTTTTATGATTAGTCCTATCATTTTTATTTTTATTATTATTATTATTAGTAATGCCCCTATATTAAGAGAGCTGAGAGCGTGATGCCCTTCCCAAGGCGGCTCCAGGAGGTCGCGCAGCTGCACCAGGCCAGAAGCGACAAGCTGAGGAAGCCGAACGACAGTCGCACCGGGGCTCGCCTTTTAGGGTTTTCGGCGCTCACACTCGGACAATCCAGGCGAGGCATGTAGGTTCGGAGTCTGAAAGGTGAAACTTCACTAAGAGGAGTAGTCACTGCGTGGCAACAAGTCATCTACCAACACATAAAGTAACTGTGTCCGAAAGACTCACCCTTTTAGGGTTTTAGGGTTTAGGGCATATAGGGCCTACCTAGACCTGCCAACTACCCTTTAATATACCCCTAATCCCCACTATTAAGGACCATAATCGCTCCATTGAAGGGCCATTGGGGCGTCCTGGTATGGTGCAAGGTGTAGGGTTTAGGGAACGGTCTCGCTATCAAGGTCTCGTGACTGGTAGCCAATGATGCAGGGACCCCACTGCACCCTTGCTTGCAAACAGGCAGTCGAGCGGTGGTGTGTAACTGTAATCCAGAGCCGGGAAAGGATCCTACCCTGACACCTCGTTGGAGAGATCTCACAGGACCACCTGCCGTTCCTGCCTCCCATGGCCCTCAACCGTCAGATTGTAGCCTCCTAGCTTGAAAGGTCCGCTATGCAATACATGCCAGCTGCTAGAAACGTCCTGAAACCTCTGCACTAGCTGCAACAACATGTGCCCTAGGGCTCCAGTTCGCAAAATCGTGAGTTACTGAGTATATTATATGTGGTTAGTGACCCACTGTTTGGGTACCTGGAGCCCTAGGGCCAATGTGCGTGCTTGAGCATGAAGCAGCTGGAAGAACCATTCACTGCTTGCGTGCATTGACCACGTGGTCCTCCGATGTCACGGAAACTTCAGTAATACTATCGAGGAGATCGAGGCCTTAATAATTGGAATGAGGTTTCGGGGCCCATATACTTATGCGCTCTCTCTCTCTCTCTCTCTCTGGGCAGTGCAGTGTCAGACACAAAGAAGCACGCATGTGTCAAACCTCATCTCCTGTTCCACTGCACCTGTTTAAGTGCCGGCAGAGGTATGCATTTCGCCGGGCGCCCAGCGGTGAAACTGTAAGAAACAAGCGGCACCTGTGCCAATACTGGTGTCCAGGCGCAAATGTCTTGCCCTTGGCTTGGGGTTCAAGGCTTGCGCTTAGGTTCTCTCGCGGCCCTGAGGATAGCTTACGCCCGTGGCGTTTGCAAAGATGGTTTCATAGCTGGTTGCCATGTAAGAACCCTAGATGGACCAACATTGCAGCCGCACGCAGATAGAAGCATGAAGCGCCAGACTGCGGGCTTTACACGCTGAACTCTCTGGGCATGTTCGGGGTTCAGGGTCTAGGGTGCAGAAGCTGCGTCCTGTACACCCTTCACAGGGGCATCCCCTGCTGGCGCACCTTGTACCCTCACAATCCTGTGCTTCTCGCAGGCATGCTGAGGCCGTCAAGTAGTCCGATGGAAAAAATTTCAGAGACTGCTCCGTAGCGATGAGGTTAGGGTGTAAGACAGTGGCCACGGCCTACTTGGACCTTGCAGGAATGCAGCTCGATAGTTGTAATATGGGGGCCTAAATAAATGATTGCCAATACTACTTTGGGGCTTCCTTATTTTCAACTAAAATAAATATAGTATAATGTATTTGGGGCTTCCTTATTTTCAACTAAAACAAATACAGTATAATGGGCCCCGAACCCTATGCTAGAGTGTGAGTCTGGAAAGGTAGGTGGAATAGGGGGCTATGGCTACTTACCTCTCTCTCTCTCTCTCTCACACACGGACTCAGTTGCCTTTACCAGACCCATCTTCCTATGCTAACCATTACGGTAAAAGCCAGAAAGTTGGAATATGATTATCTTAAACCCTTTATGGTAAATTATAGGGTATCCTTCTGGACATCCCTTTAAGGCCCCTATATTCGGATGCCTCTCAGCCGCCCCCAGCGGCTTCAGACTCCCCGGCCGGGGCATACCTGACTTTTTGCGTCAATACGCACCACAACAAGGTCAGAGATTGGGCTGATTGCCACTTCAAGCACTCCATGTGGATGTTTAGGGTTTAGGGTTTAGGATCATGTGGGTGGTTGTCAAAATTAGGGTCCCTTTTTGGGTCCTTAATATACTACGGCAACTAATATTTGGGATACCCAAAATTTTCACCATAATTTTGACAACTACCCCTGTGGAACATCCCGGCCCCTCCTGCACAAAAGCACGATGCACCCGCTGAAACGAAACTTGAACTCTGAATCGTGTCTCAAACCATATGGGGGTTTCCGAGAATAGGGGACCCTAATATAGTACCCTAAATAGTAGGATCCTTATCATAATGACCCCAAAATAAGGTACCCCTAGTTTTTTCGGAAACTCCCATATAACCGCCATATTTTCCTAAACAGGCGCTTTGCCCTGACCTCAACTGCCTGAAACCTAGATGTGAAGGGATTCAGCTTTAAGTTACCAGAAAAAGGAAACCGTATTATCTACTGTAGATCCCATGTTGGTAACTTTAGCTTAAAGTCTTTCACAACCTGAAGGATCAAATGACCTTAAGAGTAGGGGCCCTATACCCATATACTATGAATCCTTATATGGTATATGAACCTTAAACCCTTTTAGGGTTCATTTCGTCCTTAAGGAAGAGCCCAGGAAGCCAAGATGCGACGGGATCGGCTCTTGCTCGCCGCCCTCCCCCGTAAGGTAGCCCTGAGGCATCTATGGCTCGGCTCTGGGTTCTCGAATTTCCGAGTGCTTGCGCCTCAAACTGCCACCACCTACGACTTTGTAGCAATCCCAAACTTTGAGGATCTATTGCAGGATGTGTACGAAGACCAGTTTGGAGTGTAGGGCTTTCGAAAGAAAAACGATCTAGTGGCAACATGTAGCAACCGAAATCGCACTCAGCAAACATGATCAGACCTTCCGCTGCCTTCCTCTAGCGACAAGCCATACTATATACTGAACTTAGAACCCTAGCAAAAATCATAATTTTAGCTTTTTTTTGGCTCCCGCATCTGTCTCTTAGGGATTATAATAACCAAAAACTAAACAGTATTTCTAAGTGCCCCTAAGAAGCCATACTCGAATCTCAAACGGCTGGATTCCTCTAAGCCCGGAAGCTGCAGGTTAGCAGCATGAAGCACTCCAAGTCCAAATGCCTGCTCATAATCCTACGGCTCCATGTGCCCATATCGTATATACTTAGGCCTTAAAGTACCTATATAGGGACCCCTTTAAGGCGTAAGTCTCTACTATAAGGGTACATGGCGCCTTTCGGAATGTTGCCCGTAAACAAACCCCTGAAGAACCGACGTCGAAAGCCGCTTCGCAACTTCGAAGGCCTCGAACTCGGCCACCATGCCCTCCAGCACCTTACAGCAGCGGGCCAATCTAGTGTCTAAGGACGCCCCTCTCATGTCGCTCTTGTTCTATCATAACGACCCTTGGGGTAGGGGTGAGGGGGCAGAATAAGGACGTGATAAAGGTCTGATATGGTCTGCTTAAGGAAGCATAGTCCTTCCCAGGGTTCCGGATGCCTTTGCAAGGTCTTGCCTGTTGCAGGCAGTTTGCAAGCATGAACAGGCGGACGTAAATCTTCGGCAGACATGGCATACCTTTGGGACCAAATAAACCCTAAAGGGTTGATGGCTCATATCCCACAATGGGTTTGTACCATAGGGTGCAGTGCCCGCCCTATGCTGTTGAACGGTCATGTTGTCCTTAAGGGAAACGCTGGGTGCAGCTGGGGCACTACTCCTACGCAAGCGACTCCTACGCCGCAGCCACACAGACACACCACACACACACACACCACACACACACACACACACACACACACATACACACGCACCCAAGGCTGAAAAAAAGTAAACAGACCCAGGTCCTAGTTGCTGAGTTCATAAGCCCCAAAAAAGTGTACACTTTTAGTTTTATAGTGGGTAATATTTTCCCAAAAGTTTAAAGTGTATCCACTCAGCTGCTAAGAGGTCCTTAAGCTAGGCAGAAAACACCGTTGTGCTAGACTCCCTAACACCAGTTCAAAACCCCAAAACCCCAACCTTTCAAAGGGCGTAAAGCTCTCGCAAGACTCTTACCAAAACCGTAGTCAAGTCATTACACAGCCCGCTCTACAACCCCCCTCAACAAAAAGAGCACCTTTGTAAAGACGTACAACCGAGGTTCGTTGCAGTTCTACCTATGCCCTGAATATGTTACCTTTTTAGGGCTACCTTGGTTGGCTGTAGAGGGTGATTCCTCAGCTTACACAGAAGAAGGCACCGCATTCTAGGAGCTATGACAGCAGAGGAATAAGCATTTGTCTTTGTTTGCTACCCGCGGAACCAATGACCTACTTGCTTAAGGTTTATTTCTGCAGGGTTTCCTTACTATAGGCTCTAGAGACTAGAGTTCAAATATGGATCCAACAACCTAGGAGTCTGAGGTTATTCTATTCCAGCGCTAAGGGTTCGGTATTCGAGTTCTCAGGGCTATACAATACTGTACATATTCAAGGGCTCACGCCTATAAGAATTTAAGGTCTTTCGGGTTGGGGATTCAGATCGGGTTGGTGGTTGAGGCTCAATCTTTAGAACGTGCAATAGTTCCAACAAGAAGCAGCAGCCTAAACCCTAAACCTGAACCAGGCCACGAATACTGTAGTGGCCTTAATCATCAGAATAGGGCTTTGGGGCCCCCTTTATACTATAATTATGATAAGAAACTTAAGGAACCCCCAAAATAGTATTGGTAATGATTTAGGCCTTTATATTAGACTACGATGATCACTATCCCTGGCATTTCCAAACACCGAAAAGCAATATACTCCCCAAATATAACACGGTCACTACTATCCTGAACCAAAGCTTCTAATCATGAGTGGGCACATGGACTCTTAAAGGGTTTATGAAAGAGCCTGCTACATTAGCAATACTATAGCTTAGGGTTCCTTGTCTGTGCATATATATATATATAGATATATTACTGTCAACAAATAAGCAATTATTCAAGTGTGTATATGCATACGTATATGTATATATACTTACCACATTATACCCAGAACTTCGATCAAAGGCCCCTAGATTATATTGCCCATGGTTCTGCTGTGAAGATGCCTCCTGTCGTCTTTCAGGTGCTGGTCGCAGCTCTTCGCGAATGCGCATCTGGATGCCTTGGGTGGATGCGTGCTGGCACGCAGGATGGCGTGCGGGTTGCACGATTTGGGAGTTTCCGAAAATAGGGGACCCTAATAAAGCACCCGAAATAATAGGATATCCTTATTGCCAGGACCCCGAGAATATGGTACCCCCAATTTTCGGAAACTCCCATTTGGGAGTTTGGGGCTTGAAGGCTAGCAAAGGTTCAGGCTTCGGCAGGTTGGGACATGCAGGTGTTGCGGGATAAAGCCGATCCTCATGGTTCCAGGACTGTTTGGGTCGGAAACCTTGGATCGGGCGCAAGCAGTGCTCTAAGCAGGAGAACCCGGATAAGGATGCTAGAGCCTGAAGCATACTTCCAAAACTTGCAAAGTCTCCCCAGCTTGTCGGTGAAGGTCACAGAGATCGTCTTTTAGCTCCA